AATGCTATGAAACTTCGTATTTGAGGGTTCTTAGGGGTCCTGAATACGAATCACAACTCGGTTTCTCCTTAAAAAAATGTTTGACATGTCTGCATATAAATATTGATCTATTTCTTTCATAACTTTTTCCACTGAGCATAGGGGATGATGTGGCTGTTGATATTAATGTCTCCATCGTATACCCTTTCATTTGATACCTCATTCGTCAAAATCCGTTGTTATCAAATTTTCAGTGTTTTTCGTGAAAAAAACTAAGGCTTTAGCCTTGGTTCAAATTGGAAGAAAAAAAGTTTTATTTTTCGAATGCTATGAAACTTCGTATTTGAGGGTTCTTAGGGGTCCTGAATACGAATCACAACTCGGTTTCTCCTTAAAAAAATGTTTGACATGTCTGCATATAAATATTGATCTATTTCTTTCATAACTTTTTCCACTGGTCATGGGGGATGATGTGGCTGTTGTTATTAATGTCTCCATCGAATACCCTTTCATTTGATATCTCATTCGTCAAAATCCGTTGTTATCAAATTTTCAGTGTTTTTCGTGAAAAAACTAAGGCTTTAGCCTTGGTTCAAATTGGAAGAAAAAAAGTTTTATTTTTCGAATGCTATGAAACTTCGTATTTGAGGGTTCTTAGGGGTCCTGAATACGAATCACAACTCTGTTTCTCCTTAAAAAAATGTTTGACATGTCTGCATATAAATATTGATCTATTTCTTTCATAACTTTTTCCACTGAGCATAGGGGATGATGTGGCTGTTGATATTAATGTCTCTATCGAATACCCTTTCATTCGATACCTCATTCGTCAAAATCCGTTGTTATCAAATTTTCAGTGTTTTTCGTGAAAAAAACTAAGGCTTTAGCCTTGGTTCAAATTGGAAGAAAAAAAGTTTTATTTTTCGAATGCTATGAAACTTCGTATTTGAGAGTTCTTAGGGGTCCTGAATACGAATCACAACTCTGTTTCTCCTTAAAAAAATGTTTGACATGTCTGCATATAAATATTGATCTATTTCTTTCATAACTTTTTCCACTGGTCATGGGGGATGATGTGGCTGTTGTTATTAATGTCTCTATCGAATACCCTTTCATTTGATACCTCATTCGTCAAAATCCGTTGTTATCAAATTTTTAGTGTTTTTCGTGAAAAATCAAAGGCTTTAGCCTTGGTTCAAATCGGAAGAAAAAAAGTTTTATTTTTCGAATGCTATGAAACTTCGTATTTGAGAGTTCTTAGGGGTCCTGAATACGAATCACAACTCGGTTTCTCCTTAAAAAAATGTTTGACATGTCTGCATATAGATATTGATCTATTTCTTTCATAACTTTTTCCACTGAGCATAGGGGATGATGTGGCTGTTGATATTAATGTCTCTATCGAATACCCTTTCATTTGATACCTCATTCGTCAAAATCCGTTGTTATCAAATTTTTAGTGTTTTTCGTGAAAAATCAAAGGCTTTATTAGCCTTGGTTCAAATCGGAAGAAAAAAAGTTTTATTTTTCGAATGCTATGAAACTTCGTATTTGAGAGTTCTTAGGGGTCCTGAATACGAATCACAACTCGGTTTCTCCTTAAAAAAATGTTTGACATGTCTGCATATAGATATTGATCTATTTCTTTCATAACTTTTTCCACTGAGCATAGGGGATGATGTGGCTGTTGATATTAATGTCTCTATCGAATACCCTTTCATTTGATACCTCATTCGTCAAAATCCGTTGTTATCAAATTTTCAGAGTTTTTCGTAAAAAAACTGAGGCTTTAGCCTTGGTTCAAATTGGAAGAAAAAAAGTTTTATTTTTCGAATGCTATGAAACTTCGTATTTGAGGGTTCTTAGGGGTCCAGAATACGAATCACAACTCGGTTTCTCCTTAAAAAAATGTTTGACATGTCTGCATATACATATTGATCTATTTCTTTCATAACTTTTTCCACTGAGCATAGGGGATGATGTGGCTGTTGATATTAATGTCTGTATCGAATACCCTTTCATTTGATACCTCATTCGTCAAAATCCGTTGTTATCAAATTTTCAGTGTTTTTCGTGAAAAAACTAAGGCTTTAGCCTTGGTTCAAATTGGAAGAAAAAAAGTTTTATTTTTCGAATGCTATGAAACTTCGTATTTGAGGGTTCTTAGGGGTCCTGAATACAAATCACAACTCGGTTTCTCCTTAAAAAAATGTTTGACATGTCTGCATATAAATATTGATCTATTTCTTTCATAACTTTTTCCACTGAGCATAGGGGATGATGTGGCTGTTGATATTAATGTCTCTATCGAATACCCTTTCATTCGATACCTCATTCGTCAAAATCCGTTGTTATCAAATTTTCAGTGTTTTTCGTGAAAAAAACTAAGGCTTTAGCCTTGGTTCAAATTGGAAGAAAAAAAGTTTTATTTTTCGAATGCTATGAAACTTCGTATTTGAGAGTTCTTAGGGGTCCTGAATACGAATCACAACTCTGTTTCTCCTTAAAAAAATGTTTGACATGTCTGCATATAAATATTGATCTATTTCTTTCATAACTTTTTCCACTGGTCATGGGGGATGATGTGGCTGTTGTTATTAATGTCTCCATCGAATACCCTTTCATTTGATATCTCATTCGTCAAAATCCGTTGTTATCAAATTTTCAGTGTTTTTCGTGAAAAAACTAAGGCTTTAGCCTTGGTTCAAATTGGAAGAAAAAAAGTTTTATTTTTCGAATGCTATGAAACTTCGTATTTGAGGGTTCTTAGGGGTCCTGAATACGAATCACAACTCTGTTTCTCCTTAAAAAAATGTTTGACATGTCTGCATATAAATATTGATCTATTTCTTTCATAACTTTTTCCACTGAGCATAGGGGATGATGTGGCTGTTGATATTAATGTCTCTATCGAATACCCTTTCATTCGATACCTCATTCGTCAAAATCCGTTGTTATCAAATTTTCAGTGTTTTTCGTGAAAAAAACTAAGGCTTTAGCCTTGGTTCAAATTGGAAGAAAAAAAGTTTTATTTTTCGAATGCTATGAAACTTCGTATTTGAGAGTTCTTAGGGGTCCTGAATACGAATCACAACTCTGTTTCTCCTTAAAAAAATGTTTGACATGTCTGCATATAAATATTGATCTATTTCTTTCATAACTTTTTCCACTGGTCATGGGGGATGATGTGGCTGTTGTTATTAATGTCTCCATCGAATACCCTTTCATTTGATATCTCATTCGTCAAAATCCGTTGTTATCAAATTTTCAGTGTTTTTCGTGAAAAAACTAAGGCTTTAGCCTTGGTTCAAATTGGAAGAAAAAAAGTTTTATTTTTCGAATGCTATGAAACTTCGTATTTGAGAGTTCTTAGGGGTCCTGAATACGAATCACAACTCTGTTTCTCCTTAAAAAAATGTTTGACATGTCTGCATATAAATATTGATCTATTTCTTTCATAACTTTTTCCACTGAGCATAGGGGATGATGTGGCTGTTGATATTAATGTCTCCATCGAATACCCTTTCATTTGATATCTCATTCGTCAAAATCCGTTGTTATCAAATTTTCAGTGTTTTTCGTGAAAAAACTAAGGCTTTAGCCTTGGTTCAAATTGGAAGAAATAATGTTTTGTTTTTAGAATGCTATGAAACTCCGTATTTGAGGGTTCTTTGGGGTCCTAAATACGAATATCAACTCGGTTTCTCCTTAAAAAAATGTTTGACATGTCTGCGTATAAAAATTTATCTATTTCTTCTATAACTTTTTCCACTGAACGTTCGGGAGGATATGGCTGTTGTTATTAATGTCTCCATCGAATACCCTTTTATTTGATACCTCATTCGTCAAAATCCGTGTTTATCAAATTTTCAGTGTTTTTCGTGAACAAACTAAGGCTTTAGCCTTGGTTCAAATTGGAAGAAAAAATGTTTTGTTTTTAGAATGCTATGAAACTCCGTATTTGATGGTTATTCGGGGTCCTAAATACGAATATCAACTCGGTTTCTCCTTAAAAAAATGTTTGACATGTCTGCATATAAATATTGATCTATTTCTTTCATAACTTTTTCCACTGGTCATTGGGGATGATGTGGCTGTTGTTATTAATGTCTCTATCGAATATCCTTTCATTTGATACCTTATTCGTCGAAATCCGTTGTTATCAAATTTTAATATGGATCTCATCTCTGTTTTTTTGAGGGTTCTTAAAAAAAAAATATTGAATTCTTTGTTAATTGTCTAAATGTTGCTTGTTGTTTTGTCCGTAGGTATACAAAGGAATATATCTTTTTTATAACTAAATTTTCTGGTGCAGCCCTTAAAAAATAAATTTGGAACAGCAAATTTAGAATTTTATGTTTATATATTTAATATGTCTTCTAGACAGTTATAATTTTATTTTTAAATTAAAGCTTTGGAGTTATGTTTTTTTTTTCTTTTTAAATATGTTTACATTTAAGTATTGTTCCAACCTGCAAAAAAAAAAAAAAAAAAAAAAAAAATAGCAGTTTCAACTTTACCTCAATTAATTCTGAGTTATCAATCATTGTTTCTTGCAGTTCTCATATAGCTTTTTAGAAAACCTTATTAATTTCTAAGTTGAAATTTTACTAATGTTTAAACAAGATTATTTAAACAGTTTATATTAAAACATTATCGTTACTTTAATCCATAATTCAAATTACATGCAATCAAACTTTAAATTTCATCTACCTGGAAGATATCTTAATAATTGCAAGTATCATGGCATTTGTGATATATACTCATTACAAAGTTTATGATGAAAAATTTTGGTATGGAAATGGATAGATAATGAGAATCAATTTAAATGATTTAACTTTTTTTTTAAGATTTAAAGTTTTTTTATATCATAACCTGATGCTAATTTCTCCTTTTATGTTAGATATTAATTATTTTTGTGATTTACTGACTGTTTTTTTTTTTTTTTTGTTTTATTTGTTAGCAAGAGTTTTATTTAAATCAGCATAAAATTCAAATAAATGAAACCATGTACGTTACAGTGCCCTTGGTAATAATGTTGACTATTTTGGCAATATTCACTGTATTGCACAATCCGATGGCGAAGTATTGTGGGTGCCACCAACGCAATTTGTGGTCTTTTGCGATATGGATCTTTTCAAGTGGCCATTTGATCGCCATATCTGTTCCCTCAAGCTGGGTTCCTGGACTTACACAGGCCACCAGATAGATCTTCAGCTTGGTGACTTTGTTAGTTTTTTTTTTTTAATTACTTAATTACTCATTTTTTCAATACTATATTCCAAAAACTCAGTTAATTTTTTTGCTACAAATCTCATCTGTTTTTTCACCTTTATGAAAAATTTCCCAAAATGGTTAAGTACCTTTTTGAAAGTAAGCTCTTAATTTTTTTTTAAAATTATTTATAACAAAAAAATGTTATTTTATATTTATAATATAAATAATAACAATCTTTCAAATAAAAGAAGTAAAAAATGAACATAATTTTGTTTTGATGTGACAGGGAGAGCTAGAAGAATCTCTCAAGTCAATGGAAGTTACCGAATGGAAGGTGGTGGCAGCCTCAAGAAAGCGCTCAACGACGTATTATTCGATTTTCACCTTTGTCGCTCCTTTCGTCGACATCGAGTTCACCCTCACAATTGAAAGGAGATCTCCTTCCTACAGAGCTGTTGTTATTGTGCCTGCTATCGGTGAGTTCCTCTATATTACGTTTAAATAATCATGATTGTTGGAAAAGATAATTATTAATGTTAATAAAATAAATCACTACCTCAAACATCATTCATTAATAGAATTCTTCCTGATGATCTGAGCTAGAACAGGAGTTCTCAAACTTGTTTTGTCACAGCTTTCTTGGGCAAATATAATTTTTCAGCAACTTTACTTGGCTAAAAAAATTTCACCAGCACCATTTTTGGACTGAAGATAATTCGAGGCACCATAGATAATTTTTTAAAAAATTCGTAACACAGTTGTCCTTAAAGCCTCTAATGATAGCTAGAGTCTTTACAAATTGTTAGTTCATTATATATATATTTATATATATATATATATATATATATATATATATATATGTATGTATATTTAGGATATCTATTCAACAAATTGACAATTTAGGCCTTAAATATTAAATAATAATATATTTAGTTTCTAATTTTTTTATTTAAGTCAACATTACACCAATGTTTTCACTTCAAAATCCTTCTACGACGTTTTGGCTCGTCGAGCCAATTTGAAATCTAAAAATAAATTTTTCAATTTACGATCATTTCTAATAATATTTTATTTAATTATCCAAGCATAATTAATAGTATAATCATTAATACATTCTAAAAAACTCACATATTTCAAAATATAATTTTTTTTATATTATTATCTATCATGTACTTGTCTATTATACCTCGTATGTAAAATACATGTGTCTTCTCATAATAACCAGTATCAGGCTCGACATGTCTATTTCTAACTATTTGATTACATTATTATTATAAAAAACTTTTCTTATAAAAAAATTTATATAATGTTAAATTACCATATTATGTGTCAACCCACATGTTGTCAGTTTCATTGCTATTGAGTGACTTGTTGATATTATAGGAGTGGGGAAGATTACTTATACATATATAGACGAGCTGAAACGTTGCAGTAGGATTTTGAATTGAAAACATTGATGTAATGTTGGCTTAAATAAAAAAATTAGAAACTAAATATTATACACCGAAATAGAAGAAAATAATAATAATAATATATTGTTGTTATTTATAAGAAAAACATCATACATTTTTTTAGAAGCCCTGAAATATTAATCTGAGTGTGGCCCAGTCACCAATAGTCTAGATACCTCACTGATGAGACTCATTCATTTAGTTAAAAAAAACACTTTACTTTTGGCTTGATTCTAATTGTATTTGTTGATGTGTCAAACTATATAAAATGTTTTTGAGGTAGTTCCTACCTCTTAGTTTGTTTTCAGAGAAGTACTTCTGAATTAATTTTCCATCCAAAATAAAACAAATCTTAGTACTTTGAAAGGTGCATTCTTTATGGGACAATTTACAACAAACTATTTTTACTTTATTGAATATTTAATAGTTGACCGTTGCATTATAAAGGACGGAGATGGTCTGGGGTGGCGCTCATAAATAGGCTAAATAGCAGCCGAACTAATTTATTAAAAGGCTTTTAATAAAATAGTTTTGCTGCTATTTAGCCTATTTATGACCGCCACCCCGGACCATCTCCGTCCTTTATTTTTACTTTAATTAGAAAGAAAAATAATTTTATCATTAGAAGCATAGGTGGTATAAGCTAGATTTTCTAGAATAAATTTGATTAATTTAAATATGTATAACATTTGCCTTTTGAGCCTAAATATGCACAAAATCAAATTTTGACCAAACAGGCAACAAAGAAATTTAAAACAGTTTGTTTCATAAAAATATTGATACACATTAAAACAAAATTATTTGCATACAAATCTGGCCCTTGGTTAACATTTTTTCCCAAACAAATTAATTATTTTATAATGAGAAGAAGAATAGTTGGGGTGATCAGTCAAATAAGAAGGCAAAATAAATGATAATATTTATTTTGTCATTTGCCGACGTTTTGACCTGAAGTTCAGGCCATCATCAGGGCTAAGACAAGAACTTTTACAGACAAGAACTCTTTTATATTTTATTCTAAGATTCCCTTTACAATACTTATGTTACCTTTTTGACTATGTTTACTTCATCATTCCACACTTTGTACCTGGTATTATTATTTGTCTTCTTATCTTGTTCTTACTATTGTCATTATTCTAACAACTGCATTTTACTTTAATTTTTATGTTTCTCATACCTTGTTATCTGGTTCTTGTCTTAGCCCTGATGATGGCCTGAACTTCAGGTCGAAACGTCGGCAAATGACAAAATAAATATTATCATTTATTTTGCCTTCTTATTTGACTGATCACCCCAACTATTCTTCTTCTCATTATTCACGACAGTCAATTATTTAACCACTATTATAATTATTTTATAGTTATAAACAACTTTGAGATTAATTGAGCAATTCTGTTTATATATTCTAATGTCTAATTATTATTGTTCCAAAGATGCTCTTATTTATATTTTCACGTCTTGTTTCTAGGTACCATCTTGCTTACTCTTTGCTCCCTGTGGCTGCCACCATTCGGAAAGGAGCGTTTCATGCTCAGTGGCATCACTGCCATCTTTGTGTCTCTATTTCTCATTTACTTCACGATACGCCTGCCTCTTATAGGGCACTGTACACCGCTGGTTGGTTAGTATGATACAAATACTTATATAAAGTAATTCTACAAAATAATATCTTTGTCTTTACTGTATTAGATAACTAGCAAAAATATTATACTTTAATATTCTTATACAAATTTAATCACACCAATTGGATTAGCATCTATAATGATTGATATTTTTGCTGATTCCATTTTCATTAAGTTATCACTTTTAATGTTTTATTTTTATTTTTATTTACTACTTGATATAAACTTAGTTGGGTGTATCATTTAATGGTGTACAATGCTATGATAAAGCCAACTCTAATGTATGGTGTAAGGCTTGGACACAAACAACCTTGAAAGATTTGAGAGGAAAATCGTCTGTATAATAACCAGAGCAATCTGGGAACAGAGCATTAACTAATTTATATAAGAGGAGAAACCTCAACCAAAAAATGCTTACTGAAACTGGTGTTCAGCGAATATAACCTGAATATATTATTCATTAAAATAATACAAGGCATCTATAGAGTGGAGGTGATACTTGATACCTGAACCAAAATTGGCAAGTGGAGTTTTATCTATCGGTACAAACCACTTTTATCAATGGAGCCATCTACATTTTAATCCAACATTGGCACAGTATTAAGTAATCTTTTAAATGTTTCCATGGACTAATCCTTACTAAGACTTGATAAAATATTGCATATAATAATTTATTCTCAGAGAACTTATTCTTCTTTCAAAATAAGCACTTACGTTTTACAACTTTAAAGAACAGTAGGAAGGATGACAATGTTGTAAATTATAATGGTTAAGTTTATGGAGAGAAGATATGAGGATAAGTAATTTCGCAGCTTAAAAATAACAAGGATTACCTGCCTTTAATCTGTTGTTAATCAAAATGAAGCAATATTATAAACAAAGAACATGAAAACCAGTGGCTAAGTTAACATAAAGATAATTCCCTTTATTTTGAGTATCTTTCTACTAAATTTTCTGGTCTCGCATGGATTTTTTAGACTAATAAATAGTTATATCTTATGGTCTCCTGTTGCAGTTTTATTCTTTGCCTCAAGCCTGCTGTTTGTCTGTTGCTCTGTCGTCATAGCAGTAATGTTTAACAACTTATCACGAAATCGGCTGCCGAAGATCCTAGTGGACTGCTTTAGAGGTAGAATCTTTCGGATACTTATGCTACCCAGCATAAGGCTCAAGGTATGCATCACATTATCACCTCATCCCTACTACATTGTAACAATAACCTTTATATGGTAAACATATTAATTCTTCAATTTATTGATTTCTTTTTCCTAAATTTAGATTTACAATTAATACAATTTTTTAAAAATATTTACTGTTTAATAAGATTTTTTTTTTTAATTAAAAAAACAGAACAAAACTCTTTAACTTATTATCTCTGCATAATGTTGATCTAACTGCCTTGAATCTGTTTCTAAATTTATGGTATAATTTATGTTTTGAATAATACATACATAATGCTTCTACTTTTTTTTTTTCTTTTTCATGTATTTCTCTCTTTTTGTAAAATTTGATTATTTAAAAAAATCAAAATTATGATCATTTGGACTGATTTGCCCAAATCTTTATTTATTATATAATAATGAGCCTTGTATTGTATCTAGTGTAATATTATTAATTTATTATTGTATGATAAATGAAGATATTTATTATCCTAAATGATTTTAATAATATTTAGGTTTTTTCCTGTAAAAAAATCTAAACACTGAAACATTGGCGTTGAAATTAAAATAAGTAAGACACATGAAAATGAAGTTTAATATTAAAAATGAGAAGACCATAGTGGCAGAGCTCTATTTTATTTAATTAATTAATCTTCAAAGCAGATTTATTTTGTTTGCAAGCAATTAATCTTCAATAGTGAAGTATTATTATTGTATTTTATTTGGATTCATAATTTTTAAAAGTGATAGAGATAATTTTACATATAAACATTATAGTGAATCAAATATTTTAATTTATCACAATTAAAGATTTTTTAAATAAAATTTATTCTTTTTCAGTCAAGCTATGAGGAAGAAATTGGTACTACAGGTGAAGAACTGAGAGCCTATGATAGCTGTAACGAAGACCGAATGATCTTCAACCGAAGAACTCCCCAAGAAGGATGGAGCCTGATTGCCATGGCTATTGATAGAATTTTGTTTATAATTTACTTTGTAATTTATCTTTCCTTCATTCTAAATGCTGTGCTGTGACTAATAATAATTATAATATATTTTCTTAGTTTTTAAGAATGGATATCGGATGCTTCTAGTCTCGACTAAAGATATTTTTAAGTGATATTCTGATATTCATTGTTAATGTTAATCATATCTTAATTTGGAGCAATTACAGCTCACCAACTTATAATCAGGAAAATAATAATTTCAAAAGTGAACAATAATTTATTCAAAAACAATCAACAGGAATGTTTTCATGGAAAGTTTGGTGAGGGAAAAAAAAAAATGCTGAATTTAAATAAGTAGCCTAACTTACAAAATACAGTGTAATCCTCCTTATATATCAATTTTTTTAAACATAGAATTTTAGGAAAAAGATATGAAATTTCCATGAATTGAACAAAAACTCAAATTAAAAATATGATTATCAGAGAGGTCTCTTGGTTTACTCTTCATAAGAATGTGAATAAGAAAAACAAAATGTCTCCCTGTTTCATAAAACAATGAAAATAAAAATAAGATCTTATTTAAGAAGAAGCAATTGCATGCAGTGACATGTCCTCTGAATATTTCCAAACATTGTGTTATATTTTGATTTTATATTCTGTTTAACTTTCTCTTCTTTGTTGTAACATGGCTCCTAAAAGTTCGACTTGATAATCAATGTAAAAGTCAGATGAAAAATGAAGATGGAATATGTCAGTAGTAAAAGGTTTCAAAACATATCTGGAATGGAAAACCAACTCAAGATAGAAAGATTTAAGGTCTAAAAGGAACACTAGAAGGCTACAAACGGAGATCAAAGAAATATAAAATAAGATTGAAGATCTCGAAATAACAATCAGAAAATAAAACCTGAATTCTATGGACATAGAACTAGACATGGCTTAATAACCAGATTTTCGATAAATTTTGTGAGAAGAAGATTCAATATTACAGAATCCTTCAAAAGATTTGATATTACAGAAGCCTGGATAGAGAAAAAAAAAAATGAATTGGAATGAAGAAAGAAAAATCAAGTAGGCAGAAATTATAAAGAACTTCTCGAAGATAAAAAACAAAACAAATTTATAAAATTTTTGAGTGGTCCTTGAAGACATGTTAAAAACAATTTGTAAGTTCTGAACTTCGGACATAATTTTAATTCTTATATAATCGAAGAATTATATACATCATAAAATAAATGTACCAATATTACAGTTTTCGACTCGTTAAAACAAGCTTTATATTTCCCATAGAGAGTGCAAATATGAGTAAATTTGCAGTTATGATACTTAGGATAGTGATGCCTGAACCTCAAGTGATATGACAAAATAAGCTGACTGGCAGTTGATTCTTTAATGGAGCAAGTCTGGGATTTGTTTCAAGAAGGTTTTCTTATAATTTTTCCTTATTGAGTTTGATATTTTGTTTCATTCATCGGTGGTTTGAAATTTCTTAGTTTAATTTAAATCTGTGCAGAATTTATTTATTTATTTTTTAATTATATAATAAACCTATTCACCTTTTGATGTAAACACAACTATATGAATAGATTTATTACATTATTTTCCTTTTAGTAATAAAGTGAAACCCTGCCTGTGATATTTATGTTTCATTGAGCTTAATTAATTATGTCATTATTTTATTATATAAGAAAATATTTATGATGTAATTGTTTTGCTTAATTATCTGCTAAAATTTATTAACTATAAATATATTCATTATTGGTTTTACTTTACTTTTTTGTCTTATTTAATCCATTAGTCAAATAAAAATAAAAATTGAATACAAAACAAAAACTACAGAAATAATCTGAGAAGGAGTTAGTCGGGGGTGCGGTCAGATAAATACTAAATTAAAATATAGTAATTATTTTATTTTAATTTTGCCGACGTTTCGAACCACTTTGCAGGTCGTCTTCAGGGCTACAAAAGACCCAAAACAAGTTTATTATTGTTTTCTATGTTAAATGTAATGACAATAATATAAATTATTGTTTTCTCATAGAGTTATTTATACTTAATAATCTATCCTAACGATATTACACTATTAATCCTTCAATTTCTTCACTTCTTAACCTTTAGTCCTGTTATCTGTTTACACCCTTTATTAAAAGTAACCTCCACTTGCTTGTTATCCACTGATATCTCATTATTATGTTATCTTATTCTTATTTTAACTTTACTGTAACATTACTTATTCAATTTTCAATCTATTTATTAGTTAACATTCATTTTATTTATCTGTTAAACCCACAGTTATCTAATGAAATCTCTATTAGTTTGTTATACACTTATTCCTTATCTTTTATAGCAATCTGTTTACTTTTAACTTACATGCTATATTCTCCTTTATTTTTATTCATACTTATTTTCCATTTATTTGTATCTTCTACATATATAATACTTAATATTTTACTACATTGTCACCCACTATATCTCTGATATCATCTTTTATTTCTGTATCTGACAACTTCTTCTCATTTTATATCTACTTATATTTAATTTTTATTCTCAACATGTTTTGTATCTTTTGTAGTCCTGAAGACGACCTGCAAAGTGGGCAAAATTAAAATAAAATAATTACTATATTTTAATTTAGTATTTATCTGACCGCACCCCCGACTAACTCCTTCTCATATTATATCAACGGTCAACCATCTCTACATCATACAGAAATAATCCTACCCAACCTAAGAAATGCTAGAGCAAAATCTGAAGAAAATTGAACATGGCTGATTTTATTAGCATAATAAGCACACAAGTGAAATGCTGAACAATTGAATTGAAATAATTGTTGTAGCCCAAGATCTATAAAGTTATCAGGTTTGCTCACTCAGAGGAAAAATAGTGGGGAGGAATCGAACTGTGCCGTACCATTTCAGCTCTTGTTTTTAAATTAAATGTTTTATGGTTAATATTTAGCTTTCTGTATGAAATCAATACTTTAACATACAATAACTTATTAATATTAATAAATTTAAAAAGAGAAATAAATGTTCATTTGCAATTTTTTAAATTACCAACCAATTAAAATATAATTTAACAAGTTGATGTTATAAGTAAGGTTTTTTTCATAAGTGCAAAATACCATAATATTTTTTAAAAATTATTTCAAGTAAATGAAGAACAATATAAAATAATGGAACAATTAAAAAATCAGTAAATCGTCAATTTCAACATTTTCTGCTCTAAGAAAAGCACATTGTTACAACATTGTTTTTTTTAATAAAATATTGTTTGTTCCAACTTCTATTAATAGTTATATTATCATGAAAAATGCAAGAAACATTAACAAACCAGTTCTCTGTAATATTAAAAGAAATATTCATGAGATCTATAAACAAAATTATGTTAACATAATTGTGTTACAGGTTTTTTTTTTCTATTTTTTTAAACAAATATAAATATTCATTTATTTATATTTGAAATGAAGAATTAAAAAAAAACTTAAGATAAATTTCTATCTTTGCTTCTCAGTACTGGTCTGTGACTTTAATAACATTTTATTCTAGGTTGTTAATCTTATTAATTTATTTGCTAACTAGAAATTCTCTTCAATCCAACGTCAACAAGACACAAGAGTATTTCCTACAAAAAAAAAAAAAAAAAAATTGCAAAATAATATTCAAACATTCAGTGATTGGCTTGAAAGAGCAATACGAAGGTTTGGCAGTCTAGTGCTCACCCCACGATTCAAGTTCCCCACTACGTATTTCTGAGTGAGCGAACTCGGTTCTTGCTTTGTCGGTCAATAAATCAAAACATAATAAAATTTTTAATTAATTAAAAAAAGAATAAGGATAAATAAATAAAAAAGCAATTATACATTACTGTTTTTATCTATAATACTTACAACAATACAGATAGATAAAAAAAATTGACTATCATATCAAACTTTTAAATTTGTACAACGATTTGACACATCATGTAATAAAGATATACACAAAAATAAAAAGAGTAAACTCAAATAATATACATATAATATACAAAAATAAACAGGATCTTGTACATAGTAAAAAAAGTGACACTGTACAATCTAAATAAATATTTATACATTAAAAAGGTCTTTTACAGAAATTATATTTAAAAAAACTATTATTAGCCAGGGAGAAATATAATATACAAATATAATATAAAAAGAAGCTAAAAATCTGTACAAACCCAGCTATTGAACAAGTCGAATATGTTAAAGATACATAATAGGTTATAAATAACATCTATTAATAACATTGAATGTCAATACATAAATAGCGTTCATAATTTAATACAATGAGTGTCACGCCTTTACATTATTTTTTTTCTTTATGTTGAAAGTTAATAATTCTAAATGTTGCACACAGGAATGTCTATATTTGTAAAAAAACAAAAAAAAACTATAATACGTTAAAGCCTTCAAAATCAATTATTGTATAGCATCTAAATATATTTTATAAAAAAACAAAACAATCTATTTATATATTATTTTTAATGACATTAAATATAATCGGTCTTCAAAAATATGTTTTTTATTTTAATTTTCTACTGAGAAGAACATCCACTAGAAAAATATAGTGATATAAAAAAATATTGAATGAAAACGTCTACATTATTCAAAATTTAATTGTAGGTCATAAAAAGAAATGTAACAAAATAAAAATAGCTCAGTTATATATATTTTTTTCTAATTTAGTTATGAAAATATTATTTCTTAACAAGTAAGTATTTTTTTATATAGACCAATCTGAAATTCGCATGCAAAAATATAGGCAAAAAAGTAATTTGGCATTATTTTTTTACAAATAATCACCACAGCCGGACCTGTAGCGTCCTGTAAATTCTAAGGGTACGTCGACTACGACTGACAACAACACGCTTTAAACTACATCCATAATGCAAAAAACGACGAATATCAAGCATCTTGAAAAATCTCATAAGAAAGAGTAAACATTCCACATAAGAAAATATATTTAAAAAATAAAGTACAATTCAATTTGAAAAAAAAAAACACTAGAAAAAATAACTCAATAGAAATTAAAATAAATAACAAATATTCAGATAACAAGTTAAATTTCTTGTGTTTATATATAATAAATATTTTGAAACATTTTGGTAACTTAAGTGTAAAACACACATTGTAAAATGTCTAATCCCTCTTAAAATATCTCTTACAATTACATATATATAATAGTTACAACTATATATATATATATATATTAATAAATTTAAAATTGATTTTACAAATCACATACTTGGACATACAAGAATATCTATGACTAATACAGATAAGAGAAAACATTTATTATAGTAGATATGTTAAATAATAATCTCAAGTTAACATGATCAAAGTCTTTACGATAACGAAGAAGCATCGATAGGAGGATAAAACGCTAAATAGTTTATAAGTTTCATATTTAATAGATCATCTCTAAAATGGAATGTCTCTTTTTTTTTTTTTTATTGTTCAAAAAACATTTTAAAATAATGTTAAAGTTAATTGTTATTGACGACTACCTGACCTCTAAACTAATATATCTAACGAAAAGAGTTTAGAACGTTATTTATATGAAATAACACTGTTTGCCGGATAATGAACTTAACTTCAATCTATAGAATATTGCCTGACCCAGAAATATAAACCTATCCATTTACCTATGAGATCACATAACATTTCCACGTTCATTTCTTAGCACCTTCAAAAACTTCTTTCTTCATTTGCGTTTTCTTATTTCATACGGCTGATATATGAGTTTCGTTTGTATCTGTAAATATTAAAAAACGAATAAATAAAAAATGCTTAAAAGTGACTAGCATATAAAAATAATAAAAATCAATGTTATAAAAAAAAAAAATCTATTTTTATAACTACGGTATTAATTACATATATATATATGGGCACACCAATGTTTCAACTTAGGAATGAATCATAGCATCATAAACATTATAAAAAAAGAAAAGAAAGAACATAATTGAATTAGTTATTGCAGAAATTACAAATGAGATTTTCATGATTTTGAAAAAAAATAAAATAATATATATATATAATCAAACGGCAGTGTTAAGCCCTTAAATGACGATGGGCCTGCAAAAGAGCAATAGGAAAAAATTGGGGGCTCAAACCTAAAATGGTATATTGGCTGTATATAACGACAGTCAGACCCATTATATTATACTCAGCATTGCTATGCTATGGTGGTATAAAGCAAAGACTGTAGTCAATTCAACCTTATTAGGAAAAATTCAAAGATTAGCCTGTCTAATGATAACGGGAGCAATGGGCGCTACGCCAACTATTGCTATGGAGATAATGCTGAACATGGCACCATTGCTATGGTAACATAACAGCTGGAAGTTGAGGCTCAGGAAGCAAATGTATTATATAGGCTGAGTAAGCTCAAAACCTGTTCCTAAATCCCTTGCGAAGGGGGACATACAAATCTGCTGAACAGGATTGGGTGTGACCAAGTCCAAAGACCCTTCATGAGTTGTAGTGATAAAGATTATTTTTTTTTTAATCCAACAAAAACCTTTATAATAGAGAAAGAATTGGAAAAAAAATAATATTCTAAAAAAAAGATATGGTTTAAAAAAATTTTCTTTTACTTAATGTAAGCCATTTTATGACAATCTACGAATCCAAAAGTTGTCTGGAAGTTTTTAACTATCACAAATTTGTCCAGAATTTTTTTCATTAATATTTTAGATTTGTGTGTTGATTCAATGATTGGGTAAAGATTTACTTAATATTATTTCTGCAATGAAGAACCTACTATATAGCTAAACTTGGAAAGGATAACAAAAAATAATTAACATAACTCAATAAACATGACGAGGGGCAGTAGACATTTTTTTTTTTTTATCGATAGTTGGATTCTAGATATCTTGAAACATAAAAGTTCAAGTTTTGAGAGAGTTAACAACTTTTTGTTTTTTCAATTTCTTATTTGATACATACTGCATTAATTTTTACCATATTTCGTTAATCTTCCCACTAAAAGATGCATCTATGATCAATGTATAAAAAGAACTAAAAATGTCACATCTATCATTTCTGCAATAACTGACTCAATAAAATTAAAAGTTTAACTAATACATTTTTTTGTAAAGTTTGAAAAGTTGGTCGGGATGAGTCAAATTAAAAACTATATATTATAATAGTATTTTATTAGTTATGCTGATGTTTCGACCCACTTTGTAGGTCTTCATCAGGGCTACAAAAGATACAAAATATAAATTGGTACAAAGTAAAAAATAAAATAAATGAATTAGTAGTAGATATTAAACACATACCAGTTCTCTGATAAAGTACTTATAAGATGACATCAGTCATGTAGTAGGTTATAGTATAGTTAAAATATTAAGTATATATATATATATATAAGATAAAAACAAAAAATAAAAATAAAGATGAATTTAGCGTGTAAGTTAAAATGTAAACAAAGTGTGCTAAAATAAGAATAAGATATCTGCAGATAACAAACCTTCTTTATTAATAGACCTTTACTAATTTGTTATCCACTGATATTTATTCTTATTTTATTACACTATGTTTACATTTTAACTTACAATTTAAATTCATCTTCATGTTTATTTTTTGTGTATATCTTCTGTATATATGATATTTTATATTTTACCTATACTATAACCCACTACATCACTGATTTCATCTAATAAGTTCTTTAATTTCTTTATCAGAAAACTGGTATTTATTTAATATCTACTAATATTTCATTTATTTTACTTTTTAACAGGTAATAATTTAAATTTTGTATCTTTTGTAGCCCTGAAGAAGAACTATAAAGTGGGTCGAATCGTAGGAATTATAAATAAGATACTATTATAATATATAGTATTTACAAGAAATTTCTTTCTTTCTTTTTTTTTTTTTCTCCCTACAGATGTTTTTTCAATGCCCTGGCCTGCATGTATATAAATATGGTCAACCACTCAAAACAAGACATGATTTAAATCTTAAAGCTTGAGTGTTATATTTAAAAATAATCATGTCAGAAATATGTTTTTAAAAAAATATTTGTAAAATTTAATGTCCACTTACCCTAAATTACTATATCAAAATTTTCATTGAAAACTTACCATAGTTATCATCCACTTAAAATTAAATTCATCCTATATTATTAAATAAAGTTGAATTGTTAAATTACAATTTTAGCAGTTACATATTGCATTTTAGTAGGCATTCTAAACATGAAAACAGTAAACACAATGACAGCAGTCAAGCCTTCAGACGCTTCTAATCGCATCATTCCTTACCTAATACTCAAGCCATTACTAAAGTTATAACAGTGACAATAGCATTGCTACATTAAACAGAGATATATAAAGCAAAAGAGCAAGGCATTTCACAGTCATACAATTAAGTAGCGATAAGAAAATAAAATAAATTTTTTAAAAATTATTTCAAATAAACATTCAGAATTGTCTGCAATCAATAAAATAAAACACTTTGGTTAACATGTAAAACTATTACACGTTGAAACAAGAAAATATGATGTTTCCTGATAAATCAAGTATACAGGGTGTTTTAGGGTTAAGTGGGCAAACTACAATAATGAACTAAGGATCTCAAAAAAAGAAAAAAATTTCCTCTGAAGGTATGACCGCAATACTTTGTTTAGGAGACATTCACAACTAAAGATTTTCAATGTTATGAATTATTTACATTATATGAAATAAATAAAGCCTATTAATTGTTGTTCAAAATGATTTCCTTGAGCATTAAGACAGGCTCAGCATCTTACTTCAACAGCAGTGGCAGAACGGCACCGGATATGTGTTATTCTTTCAGAAGATTCAATTATCCTTCTTTGTAACGAATTAAGGTCATCGACCGGACTTGCATAGACTTTTTGTTTAATATCACACCAAACAAAAAAGTGTCAGGTCTAGAGAGCGTGCAGGCCAAGCCACTGGTCCTACACGGCCAGTCCATTGATTGGGATATGGGATATCATTGAGCAAGTACCATCAATGACCTTAATTCGTTACGAAAAAGAATAATTGAATCTTGTGAAACAATAACACATATCCGGTGCCGTTCTGCCACTGCTCCTGTTGAAGAAGGATGCCGGGCCTGTCTTAATACTAAAGGAAATAACTTTGAACAACATTTAATATGAATTTTAATACTTAAATTTAATTAATAAAGTAGTTAGAACAAATAAATAGGTTTTATTTATTTCATATAACGTAAATCTGTAGGTGATTTATTGATTATATCTCCTAAACAAAGCGTTTGCGGACACACCTTCGGAGGAATTTTTTTTCTTTTTTTGAGATTCTTAGTTCATTTTTGCAGTTCGGCCACATAACCCTGAAACACCTTGCCTATACAAAATTTAGTTCACTTCAGTGATGAAGGAAATTTATTTTTTATTTGTAATATTTTTAACTCTAATAATAAAAAATTAAAGATTGAAAAACAGAATAAGCATCATAGATTCTTGGTATCACTTCCATTTTTTTTTTCTCCATGATTTATAGGTAGGGGTGAAGTAAAAACATCAGTTATATAAACCCAATTTTGAAGAAAAATACAGTCAAACCTCTATATATCGGACATATTTGTATGTTCCTTTTAAAAAAAAATGTGATATATTGTAATTTCTATTTATATAAATATTAAAAATGTTCACTCTAAATTTAACTGTGTAAAAGGGTTTCGTTAAATCAAACATTTTGAAAATCTTCGACCTAACTACAGAAGTACTATTTGTGTTCAGGAAGTACACTATCCTTTAAAACATGAATTATAGCCCATAATTTTCTATTGTATTACTGTCAGAGTGACTCAACTTTTCAGTATATTCTCTTAAAAGTAACAATGTCGATGTGGACCAATGACTTTTAAGTCTATGAATGATATCATATTGCTTATGTTAACTTTTTTCTTATTGTTGAGGTTTAATTCTTTAAACATTTCCCATAATTAATATGACACCCCGATATATGGAGTTGAATCGATGGAAATGGAAATCCATACTTCAATTTTATAAAACTGAACAAACAACTAACTTCCGCCACTACAAATCATGGTGAGATAGACCCTCCCAAACATTCAAAGTAAATTTGTCTGATCTGAAGAAAAATAAACTTGCCAATCAGATAGTCTTTTACAGTTTGCTAATACTACTAAAATAAAAAAAAAAAAAAACCTGTACCACTACAACCCATGAAGGGTCTTGGGTTCAGTACTATTTAGGAAAAGCACTGTTTCTAGGTCAACGGTTGTGCAAGGAGGTGATTTGACCGAGATCACGGTCAACCGACAGGTTTTCCCCCTTAATTAACTATTTAATTAAGGGTACACACTTTATAGCGGCTGGGTATGCCCCAGGAGTGTCCAGGGTCCCTCCGCGGCCAATGAAACAGATAAATAAATTTTCTGCCATGAGCTGAGGTTCGAACCTGGGGCCTTTAGCATTGGAAGCTCAGTATCCTACCACTGAGCTACCCCACTCCCACTGCTAAAATAATGTTTAAAAAAAAAACATAGATAACTATGGTGCACTATAGGCCTGGTAAACCTAGCGAAGTTCGCTCAATAAACTTGATCACGTAAATTAGTCTGTCTGTGGTGAACTACTCTGGCCGTTGAAAACCAAACTACTTAAAAAGAGTAAACTTCATTCACATTCTGTGCCATAATGATCTCTTTAACAGGAGGACCCATTTCGGTGTTGTTTTTTTTTTTAATTTATTTTTAAAATGCAGCGTTCCTGCAAAAATTCGATATAGAGAGGTTCAACTGTTTATGAATGATAATACAAAATAATATAAATCATTTATAAAAAAAAAGATTAATGATCAAAAAAACAAAACAATGGTATTAGAGTTATTAATGAGTAAATAATGAATGAACTACGTACATGTACTAACCCTCCTCGTCATGGTAATAGGGATGGGTGACACCTTCGTGCGAGTGAGCCCTACCAAGCCTCTGAAGCCGATGGGCGGCCATGCTGTACGGCGGCCCACGCCCCTGCCCGCACCCTAAGGCAGTGCCCAGTCCTCTTTACTCAAAGTCTTCTTATCTCTCTTTATTAATTTATCTTATTCTCAACCCCACTTTCCACAACTTCAATAAGCTACTTTCAAATATTTTTAATGAAGATTGTAGTCTTTTCTTTATAAACTGAGCCCAAATAAAAAAAAAAAAAAATGGCCTTAATGTAAATGAGTAAAAACCCAATAACCCTTCAACGTTTTGCCAAGTCAGGCATCATCAGGAAAGAAAAAAAAAAAAAAACCAAAATTACATCACTCTAAGAATCTATGGAAGAAAAGTGAAGTAAGGTTATAATCAAACACCTGATCCAAAAAATCAGCTGTTTAATTATAACCCTCACTTCACTTTTCTTCCATAGAGTCTTAGAGTGATGTAATATTGTTTTATTGGTGGTAATCTTGTTTTGTTGGTTTATTTAAATCCATATTTAATAACCTACCTTATTTTGACAAGGTTTTAGTTAATATTTTTTGGTTAAATAAATGAGATTATTGATGCTTTTAAGTTTAAATGTACTTTTTTATTTAAAACAATTTAATTTTACTTACACCTTTGTCATTTCATTTTTAATGATATAACTACATTCTGAAACATTTTATTTAAAATTAGAGGTGAAGTATTTTTTCAGTAAAACATCTTAAAAAATTAAACAAAAAAAAAAAATGGTTAGCACATCAAATTTGTAAACCAGTTTTCCTAATTAATGTTAGATTACAATTGGAAAAATTCCGACAACATAGCCTTGTCTCTAAAATGTAGGTAAAGAACAAAATAACACAGCTCACACGGTCTTGGGAATGCTTATTTATTCTGTCCTGATGGTGTCGAAATTGGCGAAACGTTGATGGACTATTATATTCTTTACTTACATTTTAGAGACATAAGGTTGTGTGATTGGAATATTTCCTATTATAACCTAACATTGGTTTTAATTTAATGAAATTTAAATAAAAATTGAGCTGTTTTTAAATTTTTTAATTAATCATATTATATAACAAGCGACTGTCTCATTATTTTTATATATTACTTTTCATTATTTATCAAATCTAATGACTAAGCCAGCTCAAGACATCAAGGTTTTTTCTCCTTCAGATGGGAAAAATAAGACACGTCTCCCTCGAAATTCTATGTAAAAAAGTTATGAACTTTTCTCTAAAATCCCATTTTCCCCTCAAATCTTTTGCTGTTTCAACTATTCATCAAATATCACACGCTTTACCCCATTTAAATTGTTTCTTGTGAGAAATGGTACAATGAAAATGGAATTATGTGTATATAGGTAGCTTTTTCTTTTCTTTTGTATAATTCTAAATTATGAAACTGAAAAGCTGAAGTTATAACTTATTTTTTCTGAAATTCTTTAATAAGGTAACATTTTGATAATTAAATAAAATAACCAAAAATGAAAAAATAGACTTGTAAGATATACTATTTTTTTTTTTAAATTTGTTCTTTACTGAATTTTACATTATCAAAAATATTATGTAGTGATAGAGAAATACAAAATCTTGATATTTTAACAAAATACGGTAGTAAATTAACAGCATACAAGAAAATATTGTCTGCTTATAATGTGTTACGAAATACACAAGTTCAATTAACTTTTCATAGGCCTCTTAATCTTAATTAAATTTAAAGAAGCTTTTTGTTTAGAAAGAAAAGACTACTTAAAATATTTTTAAAACAATAAGCTTATTGAAGATATCCCCACACCACCCCATTAGAATGACATCACAGAATAATTTAATGGCAGAACATGAGTATTATTATAAATATGAAGAATTGTTAGAAGAAGAAGAAAATAATTATTTAGGTAACTGAGATGTCTGTAAGAATTAAATTATGTTTTCTTTGTAATTTAAATATAGATATAAAACTACAAAAAATATTAATTATAATATTAATATAGATTTGTTAAAAGAGAATATCGACTGATAAGTCAAATAATGTGATACGATAAATCCTTACAGACATCTTAAATAATAGACTCAGTTTAATTTTATGGTTTTTTTTTTGTAATTATTAAACTAAATACCCAGAAGATTTCAAACCATGCAACGAAAATTTACTTCATAACTATCAGAGTATAAGCATTATGATTGTGTTTTTTTATGTTTAAATCCTCAATGTTAGATAATTAAAAAAAATATATATATAAATATCAATTGATGACAAAAATAGGGTTGGTCATAGTTTGATAGCACTATCAATATGTGATACCATAATTGTTTCAAAAAGTCTAGTCTCCTACAAAAATAATCAGAATCACAAGCAGATCCAGGATTTAATTTTTGGGGCTTCAGCCCGGAAGCTTTTATTTATATATATATGTATATACACACATATATACTCTACTATAACTTTGGAAAAAGAAGAATTATTGACTGTAAATCCTAAGGACCCACAGAATGAATCTCGACCATCTCATCCTCGTTACAACAGGTTTGGTTGCACCTCTAGAACAACGCTCCTCCTCCCGTATGTCACAAATGGCGAGCTGGAGGGCAAAAAAGAAATTTTTCCTTCTTTTTCGATGGGTCATCAAAATGATATTATTGATCACCTGTTATAACCGTGATAGTTATATCTGAAGTAATTATTAACAATGACCAGTGTAGTTATGATTTATGGTTAAGAGAACTTTCTCATCACATCTAACGAACTAAAGGGATCATTTAATAATGAACCTCAAAAATGTGTATTAATAGTGCCAATATCTGTCAGTCGATATTAAAGAAATTACTGATACAGCTATCAAACAATTGCAAACCCTAGTGATAAGTAATGAATAAAAATTTACCCAAAAATAAAAATTAAGTGTTATTTTAGAATATTAATCTAATTTATAATTTCTTTATTATAATATAGATGCTTCAGCTTGCTTCGATCACACTCAGCTCCTTAATATCAAAATAGATTAATAATTTTAGCAAAGCATTAATAGTCGTAGTGAAATAAAGCTTTTAAAGATTGGTTAGTAAAGAATCCATTGTTAGTAATCTGAATCTTCATTTAAATCATCTCTCATACTAATACATACACACTAAGGAAAAGCATTTTTATTAAGCATTTATACATACACAGCAGACATTATACACACTACCTAATGAGATATAATTTTCATGCGGTGTCGTTAATGTATTTTTTTTATGAACATACAGAAAATCTATTTCTAAAATAATTTTATTTATTATATTTGAATTAATGTCGTGCGCTAATCCATCATATTTCATTTTAAAATACATTCTACAGGAGAATAATTATGATGAATTAAGATTGATATTTAAATGTGAGGACAGGCAATTATTTCAATATTTGTCTTCCTGAAAAGAAAACTGCAGATTCAAGGGTTATAGAAATGACTTTTCTTATAGGGGAAGGAGATGGCCAGAGGTTGCGGTCATAAATAGGTTAAATAGAGGTAAAACTATTTTATTGAAAGCCGACGTTTCGACCCGACTTTGCAGGTTCTTCAGGGCTAGAACGGAAAAGATACAAAATGATAGAGAATTTTGGCAGTTACATAATATTTAGACAAAATTTCTAACTACATAATAAAAAAAATTCTCTATTTTTTTGTATCTTGTCCGTTCTAGCCCTGAAGAAGACCTGCAAAGTAGGGTCGAAACGTCGGCTTTCAATAAAATAGTTTTTCCACTATTTAGCCTATTTATGACTGCAACCCCGGACCATCTCCTTCCTTTATAACGCAACGGTCAACTATTAAATATCCAACACAACTTTTCTTATTCTTTACTTCAAAGATTAATCCAATATTTTTTATTTTATTTCATTTTTTGTTCAGATATTTATATATTTTAAATGACAGATTAAATTATTTGTTCTTGAATAATAATTTAAAAAAGAACAAAAACAAAAATATACAACTTAATATTATAAAAATGGAAATGATTTGATTTTTTGTTCATGGAAATGATGGTTTGATAAATATTATATTATTGCCAAAGACTGATAATCCAGAATTATTTCTCCTGTAAAAGTTGTATTATTAATTTAATTTCTTTTTAATATTATTTTATAAATTCTACCATAATGATGTAATAAATTTTTTCTTACTTTAAATATAACTTAATAATTTTAAACTATATTAAACCTGGCTTTATCAATAAATCGTTATCAAATTATCTTACCAATTTTAAAATAATCTTCAATAACCATTATAAGTATATTATAAGGCATGCAAAAACAATGCACAGGATGGTAGTAACCCTGTAACTTCCTTAACTCGCTTTCAAAATAGCTTAAAATTTCCCAACACCAAACTGCGTACAATATATGGACAATCACACGTAAAGGCAAAAGCCCTCATGATATTATACATTACACTAATCTATATTTACTAATATGGAACAAAATATCATGGAGGTTTACTTTCAGAGACATCACACATACAGAGATAACAAATACATGGATGACAACACTCACCATTTGGCAAAGGTGGTAATACTGGAACAGCATGCAAGAAAGGAGGCCTCCCTATAAGAATATATATACATACACATATACACACATTTATATATACAATTCAAATTAATAATATAATACTTTATAAACATATTTCAAATCATTTTATATATTTTTTATTTGAGTAAACATATGAAATTGTTATTAATAGAATATTAAAATAAACAAAAAGAAGATTTAATAATTATATTAGATAGATTTGGAATTGAAAAGAGAATAGAGAAATGTATGTAAATGAAAAAGTATAGAGTAGAAAATGTGCAATTATAAATGTGATTACAGTAAAACCTCATATTGTCAAGATCACGAGTTTTAAGACCCATCTATATTTTTTCCCCAGTTCTTAATGGCTAAACTCAGGAGGGTTCAAATTCAAAATTTGTGAGACGAAATTTCCAACAAAAAAGTTCATTTGATGTATGGGCCTATTCCAAACGGAAAAGAGCTGAGACCAATTTTGTGTAGTCATTTTTTTTATTGAATAAGAAGGAATTGCTCGAAAATTGTTCAAGATAATTAAAATTAAGTACACAAACGTAAAGTAGACAACATTTTTTTTTAAATAACAGTGATTAAATTTACTAAGGTCAATGATAAAAGGGAGTTTCAGAAGGTTTAATATGGACGCTGCAAGGTACTATTTCGCTGGCATGGCCCACGATAGCGACCGTAATTTCATGCTGCCAACCGCTGTTGGCGTAGCTGTTTCGCTGAAACTGCTCACTGAGGTTGTTATAACCTTCGAACATTTCGCTTTATCTTCGAAGATAAAAAAATGGGACATCCTTTCTCTGACTACCGCTTTTTTATTTCAGGAGGAAGAAGAGGAAATGTTGTTCATAAGGAGAAGAAATATCAGTATTTCAATGGGATGCTCATCATCCAAATCATAAAATCCCTTCTTGGACATTCTTTGCTACTGTCTAGATGACCAACCAAAAATTGAGAAATAACAAAAAAAGAACAAAAAGGCGGAAAACGACGTACTAACAGCAATAGTCCCCCTGATATTAGATATTATTAGTGTGAAAAGTAATACTAATTATCACATAATTGATTAGTAATAAATATCATATATTTGTAATTAAATGACAGCAGGCGATGTTTTATCGTTTTATCAATAGTAATCAGCAAATCCCAACTTTAATTAAAAAATACTAATCGATTTTTCAATGAGTGGATTTTAATATTTACCTGACGTTAAAATTTGTTGGATTCTTTAATTTATTTAATATCGTTTGGATTTAGGTATATTTGAATTTTGCTGTAAAATATTGTTGGTGAAATAATAATCTTGTTACTTCATCCTTAAAAAAATAATTTACTATTGCATTGTTTAAGTTTTAAACAATATTTCTTATAATTTTGCCAGACTTGAAAAAAACATAGGAAATAAAACGTATCAAGGTGACTTACGTATCATCAAAACAATGCTCTGATGATAACATAACCTACAACCGCCGAACCGCCAACAGCTCAACTGCTTCAAGAGTGGTCAGATAGGAGCAGCTTAGATATGACATCACACATAGACTGCCGAGCAGCGCCAGTGAAATAGGTTCTTTTCTATTCCATTAAAGCAGTGGTCAACCGCAAGCAGTCGCGGTCGTGGACTGCACCAGCGAAATAGTACCTATACAAAGAAATGCTGCTCGTCTGTTGGTACAGTGACTGCAGCAGTAAAGCGGCCGTATTAGACTTCCTGAAAGTCCCTTTTATCATTGACCTTGCTAAATAAATTTAATCGCTGTTTTCTCAAAAACATTTTGTCTGGTTGCCAGGCAATTGCAGAGCTGTACACACGCGTTAGCCCATTTGGCCTCCCCCTCCTCCCTAAATGATTGATCTTAACTTCTATCGGAGCTCGCGGAACGATACCAGACTCAACAAGGAGCTTCATGGAGGGCCTTGGTGTCGACATAAAGGACGTGGCAAGGTTGGCAGAGAGTATAATCCTCGACTCCCTGGGAATCATCCACCACCATGTGCATGGGAGCGGATAGGGGGAGAGTTTGCTCGCGAGGGGGAGGCATGCGTGTGTTACAGCATTTTTTATATTATTATTTATTGAACACGTCCACTGTACTTTTTGAATTTTTTATGTATTAGGTTAGAAAGAGAGAGGAGAGAATGTGAGTGGGAACATGTATAGGGGGAGAGAAGGAAGAGAAAGGGTACAGAATGATAATAAATGAATGAAAGAAATAGTAAAAATTATAAAAAAAAAAAAAGGAAAAAAAAAATAATATATATATATATATACGTACAAAATATTGTATACTATGCTCATACATATTGTTAATCCTATAATTGTATAATAATTTTAAATAATGTCTGTAGTGATTAATAAGTATGCTGTGTTGTTAGCAACCCAATGTAATTGGGCAGCACCATTTTATTTTATTTTATGATAATAAAGTGATTCTCTCTCTGTTCGGAATTGGCCTAAGCATCAATTGAACTTTTTAGTTTGAAATTTGTCTAAAATCACCCCCTCTCCTCCCCTAGTTTGGCCATTAAGAACAGCGGCCGTACACTATGCCCCCGCACAAAAATAAAACAAAAATTATTGAAGCACGACAAATTAAATTATTACAAAATTGCCAAAATTAATATTATAATATTGTCATGCATTTGATTAAACTTGGCTTCTCATCTTCCGATGAATACATAACAAATAGGACTACCAGATTGTAAAAAAATTTTAGAAGTATGTCCCGAGTAGCAAATTTGAACAAACTGTTGAGTTTATTTAATTAGGAAGTGTATTGTTTCTGTTTTTTTATTGTTTTGATTTTTATTTAGTTAGCAAAATGAGAGCTGATGTTATGAGACAGTACTTCTTTCTTAAAGCAATGCTTTAAGGTACAGAATTCGGGTCTTACATAAATGGAGAATTGTATATTACCTGTTTTATTCGTAGAACTAAGGATATCTTTGCCTTTAATAATATAAAAATAAATATACTAACCATGTTTGGTTTTATAATTATTTTCTTTTTCTACTATTTATCTTCTTAACCTGTCGTTAAAGGTTTTACTGTAGTCATATTAGAGTAGTAAGTTATTATAATTATTTTTTTGTATGCATCAAAAAAGTTATATAAAATAAGATAACAGAGAAAGAAGGGATATTTTCAAATAAAGGGTTAAAAGGAATTTGACAGATAGAATAGCCTCAAAGTAACCACCTACATGCAGGTAATTAGTTAAGGTTATAATACATGCTTTTTAATGTTTTAGGTTTTGTTACATTACATGGAACATACATATACAGATATATATATAAAACAAACATATAAACAAGTAACTATAAGCAGTTTTAATTAAAGTAATATTTAAGAATTTATTTTTATAAGAAATATTTAAACAAATACTTTATCATTATGAATGATAAATAATTTTTTTTATATAACTAAAAGTAATAACACTAATTTGCAAAAATTAATTTAATCTTCAGGTAATATCAAAGGTTATAATTTAACAATGAGAATACAAATTTGCTGCAATTTGTATGTTTTAACTAAATTATTAAATAAATAAGTGAAATTAAATATTAAAAAATCTTACCTGTGCTCAAGTTTTTAATAATAAAAATGTGAATTCAAATAATTAAAACACTATATGCAGTGGAAGTATTTTCATGTTTTTTTTTTATACTTTTCGCACTGAATATTAGCAACTTTGGACTGTATAGAAGGATATTCTTAATCCATTTGGTGCTTCATACAGCATTTCCACCATTTTTTTTTTTTATTTACCCTTTTCCACTTAGATTTTCCTTCTTTTTTTTTTTTTGCCATATACCATCCAAAGAACCCCAACAGATCAGCCTTAACACAATCTTCCCTCCGTCGCTATGGTCTACCCCTCGGACATTTACCAGTAGTACCCAAACCGATTGGCAATAAAAATCTTATATCTCACTGCATCCTGACTATATATCACCTATTATTTATATAATAATAATTCCAATAATTTTTTCTCTCCTATAAAATTGTGAATGTATGATTTGTAGTTATATCATTGTTCAATTGGATGAGTGATATGTAATATTGACTAATTTTGTCCACGGTGATATTACTTTAATTTGTTATAAGGGGGCTTCATATACAACTTGCATATAGTGTGTTAATTATTTTGTTTTTTATTATTAAGGTTTGAAGATATGTTGTGGTAGAATTTATTTACAGTGCATTATAAAACTACTAACAGAAAATTAATATAAAAAAAAATAAAAGAAACATACCTGGCTGCATAGCTGAGTGCCTCCTGAGGTGGAAGGGTGGAGAGGTGGATGGGGGACAGTTCTCGGCCGAGCTGTTAGAGTGCGTATCGAGCGCTGTAGAATGGCCAGAATCACTACTTGTTACGCTACCTGTGGTGTAAATGTCTAATACTTAATTAGGATACTTTACATTTAACTATTATCATATTATAAAAAAAATAAATAAAAATAAATTATCTATTCGGAGGAGTCAAAGTCAAAACAGGTGGGCTAACGAGTTTTCTAATAATACCATAATTTCCAACAAAAACGAAAGACAGTAAAACTTTTCATAAATGTTATCGAAAACATATTTCAAATATAAATTTAATGTTTGCTATAATAACAAGGAATCAAAACATATAAAAATAAAACAATTTATTTGTCGATGAATGTATTCCAAGAGTTCATACTTTAAGAAGAACCAACACCAAATGTCATTTTTTACATTTTTTGGTTTAAAGGCGTATTGTATTGTTCATACAATTTAGAAAAAGAAGTAAACGAAGAATATACCAATATTTATGGTTATTTTGATGGAAATAAAAGGAAGATATATGTACAGTATAGTAAGCAATTTCTTAATCGCAGAGTGTGTATCAGCAGGAGTTTACTGATATCTACGATAGACTGTAAACGATACTGAACTATACCAAAATATAAGCCAGACCAGAAGGAAATTTTATCAAGACTATACCGATAAATAATAAAAAATTAATCACATATTAACATCATCTTTTGAAGCTTATATTTCTATTAGGAAGTATTAGCAACGGACATATCTTTGTTAGATACATTTTTTGGTTGGCTAAATGGTATCAGAAATATACCCCTAAAGTATGAACTTTCGTCATGGGATACCCTGTGTTATCGAAAATGGAGAACTCAAAACATATTATTTTTGGGGATAGAATAGAACTTATATCTCCTTTTTTATGAGTAGCAACGCTACCAATTACGACATAAAAAAGACTACGAGGTAAAAAAAAAAAAATTTAACTAATTTTTCATTTTCAGCCAGGCAGATACTCAAGATAACAAACGGTATAATGTTTAATTGACCCATCTCTACTGTCCACAATAAACTACTTTAAAATACGTCTAGAACAGTTTGGAGTGCAGTCAGAAATAAATAGAATATACTAAATAATTTCTAAGTTTTAGATGTGCTAATATTTCGACCTACATTGTAAGCTTTCTCCTGGGTTAAGAAAACATGATACAAAAATAACTAAACTTAGTGAATTTTAAATATGTGAAGAATAAAAGTAGTAGAATTATATGGAGGAAATTCGGATAAAATTTGATATAATAATAACTAATTGAATAACATTTTTCATGCATGTCAAGAGGGGGACCATCTAAAATATTTTACTGAATGAACACACCAAAAACATGCTTTCATTCATAACATTCAGGCAAGGTAACAGTTCCATTCATAAAATTCAGGGAAGGTAACAGTTCCATTCATAAACCAGACAAGGGTTACGGTGGAGGTATTTACCTGATTGGTTTTCTTTACAAGAAAGAATCGCAAAACCACTCTACTCAATAAATTTATAATAAAAAGTAAAAAAATTAACTTGCTTATATTTTTATATTTATTAACTATACAGTTAAACTTTCATTATTATTATATATATTTTTTTATTTATTTTTTTTTACGATGTTTTGGTATTTCGATCCCATCATCTGCTAAGTTACTATTTCTTAGACGATTACGTTAATTCAATTTAATCATATTTAAATTAATTCACACATAATTGCAGCAAGAAAAGAGAAAGACAGGTTGAAATAGTTCTGTATAATATATGATATGTGAATTAATTTAAATATGATGAAATTGTATACAAATGAATAAACATAGTATATATATATATATATATATATATATATATATATATATATATATATATATATATATATATATATATATATATATATATGAAATAATAAGTAAAGAAGTTAAAAAGATCACTAGGAATATTTGAAGGATAAATGAAATAAATAACTTTTAGCAGTAGATTAAAAATGCTTTTCCTTAAAATGTAATCAAACTAGTCAATAAAAAATCCTTTCAAACTGATTCAGCAAAATATTTGCTGGTTATTGTGGCTTTGAATCCCTTTACAATATAAAAATATTCAATAGTTTGAATAGATGGAGCTGCTTCCCCCAAGCAGAATATATTTAATCTTGAACATTAAACATAATATCATCACCCATTTTCCATTAACTCCTCCAGAGACCATTTCTAGATACGTACCACTGGTGAGTGTTTTCCTAAATGGAAGATTGGACAAGGAGGTGACCGAGGAGGACTCCGCGCTGAGGTCCACCGACGACAGGAGAGCCGGATGGTGGTACGCTGGGAGGGGAGGTGTGTCCGAGTGGGAGCGCTCGTGGGAGTGTCCCCTCCCTCCTCGCCTCCCTCCCGTCGGGCTCGGGGCCTGCCTTGTCCTCGTCTTCGACTGCTCGGCTAACGACAGGAGCTTCCTCACAGCCTGCGGCGACGCTGAACCTATAACGCATCATAACTTTTACCATCAAAATCATTAATATAAACTTAACTTGATGGCTTTACGCACATCCATTATTATTATCAATTTAATGATTATTCATTAAATGAAAAATCATTATGTATTGTCATTAATGGTATTCCATCAAGAGTTCTACATGTAGATGAAAAATAATTGGTAATCAGTTACTTATTTTTAAGAGAATATTTTAAAACAATCATGTGGGTGGAAAAATATTCATTTTTTAAGAAATGTTTTTTACCAAGGTACTACTTGATTGAGCAAATTAAAATAAACACTTAAGTATTATTCTGGGCGTTACTTAATACTTAAATAATACAGAAATAATAATAAGAAGTACCATATTATACAGAGACTTTTATTTCATTTAAAAATTGTCCTAATCTACCACCAATATCTCTCTTGATTGATAGTAGGAAATTAATAGAACCATCTATAACTCAATCCTAAAATAACTCTTATTTTTTTCTCAAACCTCTTACACTGGAAGGCAATGTGTCTTAGATCCTCAAGACTGTTGAACAGAAGCTTAGCCATTACGTGTAGAAATTTTTTTATTATTGCATGATTTATTCTAAGCTTCGGTCAGCTTTACTAAAATATTCATTATTATATTGCAAAAAGTCATTAAGTGTACTTTTGATAGAGCCAAAATTTAAAGTATTCGTCTATGAGTTTTGATCATATTTATTATTTAGAACTTCAAGTCTAATTTATATATTTATTTATATTTTGTTGTATTCCTATTTTTTGTAGCCCCTTAATTATATATATAAAAAAAAACCTATGGCGAGTCTTGGTTCATTATTTTGTAGGAAAGTACTGTTTCAAGCTGAATTATTGTGCAGAGGGGTGATTGGGCCGAGATCTTACATAATAAATAATTAAATGCAGTAGCCGAACCCGAATCTGGGTTCTTCAGCATAGGAACACAGTGCCTTTCTCACCAAGCAGCTCTCCTAGATTTACATATCCTTGAAACCTCTCCTCTTTAAACACCTACTCCTTTCTCAATCCGACTATTTGCGAAATATACTTAAGAGAAATAGCTAAGCACCCCCAGATACTACCTAAATTTATTTAGGTTATTTTAGTTTCTAATATATATGTACAATTTTCTTGTTCTTTTCTTTCTCTTCTTCAGTATTTTTAGTTTTAGTCAACTCTTATTGTAGATATATAATCTAATTGTAACCACACAGACATACAATCTGTATTTATAATTTGTTCTAAAGGGACAACAGTCCCAGAATAATAAAATATTTTTTTATTTCAATCATCCTAGATATGAAAACAAATAACTTGGAAATTATATAGTTTTATTATATTTATTTATATTCATCCCTATTATGAATGACTTTCCATATTTCTGGCAGCTTAATAATAAAACATTGGCTTTTAATAAAATAGTTTTTGCCAATATTTAGCCTATTTATGACCACCACTCCCGACTATCCGACTATCTCCTTCCTTTTTAATGATAAAACGTGTGAACACTATATTAGAAATAATGTAATAACCCCTAAAGAAACTTTCTCAGATAAAATTCTTATTTTAGAACCCTATATTAATTAATTTATAGTTAGTTATATTTAATAAAAGCTGTGCTGTAGTTCGAAAACAATATAATTGATGATTTAAACTCACCAAACTTGGGATGAGGATGTTTTCTGTTGCCCTCGGAGGCACTGCTGGCGGACGAGGCAGTGCTGAGGGTCGGGGATGGGTTCCTCTTGCGGACCGGTCCTCCGCTGGAACCTCCCTCTCTGGAGCCCTCGCACTCCAGCGAGAGTTCGTGCAGCTTCTCTTCGTCTGTCACTACCCTCATTCTGTTCAGGTACGCCTTCACTCTTCTCACCATTTGGGCCTTAAGTAAAATAATAAATAAGAAAAAAGTTTCTCTAAATTAGTAAAGAAATAATAAATAAAGAAAACGACTAGATACCTCCTCGAACATTTTCTTAGGGTTTGGAGCGCCGGTAGATTTTTTTCTTCTTTTCACAGTTGCTGCACCTTGTTGAGAGTTACCAGTTGTTAACTGGTTCAAGGTAACCATGGCATTCGAAGGCGGCTGACCTCCTACAAGGAAATTATAAAAGAATATTAAAAAAAAGTCCAAAAAGTATCTCCGTGTAACACTAGATATAATAAGGAGAGATCCAAGATATTTTGTTTTTCTTTTCTTAGCAAGAACCAATGGATAAATAGGATCATGCGGTTGACTATAGAATTCAAAATGGCACTAATACTAGCCGAAACATCATCCTTTAAAATATTTATCTTGTAAAAGCAATAAAATAAAAATTAATACTTTTAGATATATGTAGATTTATAGGCCTTAGATTTATGAATAGAAGAATTTGTATAGAAATAAAATTATATTGAATACTTAATGGTTGATCATTGTATATTTTTGAGGAAGAAGATGGTCTGGGGTGGCGGTCATAAAAAGACTAAAATAGTGGAAAACTATTTTATTTCAAGGCAACTTTTCGACCTAACTTGCATTCAGTAAGGAGTTTCAGTTAAAACTCAGTTTTCTCACTATTTTAGTCTCTTTTTGACCGCCACCACGAACCATCTCCTTCCTCAAAAATAAAATTATAGATAGAACATTTATAATAAAAAAAATATCTGCCAAGTAAGGTCAGTATAGCTTCGTCACTATTTTCATTCGCTAAACAATTATCTATATTTCAAGGTCTATATATAATTTTTTGTTTGAGAATAAAATCTCCAGGAGAGCTTTTTTCGGAAATACAATAATCCAACAGCATGCACGGGTTTGATATTCACATGTTTTGTTCATTATCGAATACAAAAATGCAGTAGAGTACCACATTTGAAAATTACATATTTAACTATTCATAATTAAAAAAAAAATCCCAGTACATGTTTTCACTTGTAAAATGGATGGAACACAAAATCCATTGGAAAATTTCAATTTTAAATATGTTGAATTTGAATTCAAAATTTTTCATCAGTCAGAAAAAAATTGATTTAAGATGGAATACAAAAAAAAAAAAATTATGTTAATCTAGGATTAGACGTAACATAAAATAAATTTTACGGATCTCAAAAAGGGGTAAAATCTCTGAAACCTTAACAAATCGATGATAATTGTTTTTTTACTTATAAAATATAATTTTGAAAAAGTCTTGTTGCCTAAATGTAATTTAACTTAATATTAATTGTTTTATTGATATTACCTAATTCGAGCATCGTGAGGAGGTCATAAGGAGACGAACACATATTCGTTAACGTCCTTACTTCTTTCGCAATCATCCTCAACTTTTCAAAATTAATTAAACCTTCAACTTTCGTATCATTCCCTAAATGAATAAATGTTAAATCCTTTTTCACTACCGGATAGAAAGGTATCTGAAACAAGTTGTTAAATAAGTAGTTTATAAAGTTCTATTAAAAATAAATAACTAAATTAATAAAAATCAGATATTTAAAAATGTAAAACTCACGATGGGAGGAGTGCCACTGTTAACGAGTTGACGATACTTGCTCATGTTACGAGAAGGATCCATAATCTGCTGCAGATCTTGGAACAGCCGTTGGTATTTCGACGGCAATTTATCCCACGTCGTCCTCAACCGACTCACGGCACCATGGCCGAGTCCGGAAATGATAGCAAACATGGAATTGAAGTTTTTACATTCTTTACACTGCCCTGAAAATGATGAATATTGATGGATGTGAACCTCAGTAAACAAGAACATAATATAAAAAATAAATAAAATATTTTAAACACATACTGGCAACTTTGATGAATTGTTTAATGATCTTAGACCTCCTTACGAGATTGTGCTCGGAGCATACTTCTGTCACTACCCAAAACATCTCTCGGTTCACAAGCTGGAGAAATAAATAACACAAATTAAATTTATGAAATAACATTTTAAATAAAATTAGTGTGGAGTTTTATTAATAAGATGATGATATGATAGATAATTTTATTAGAAAGATAGACTTAGGATATGAACAATTGAAAAAAATAATTAACTAATAAAAATTATTTTATTATTAAGTATAATAGAGAATCACCTCGGCGAACTGAGTGAGCATCGGCGTACCATATCGGCTCTTTATTCCGAACAGGTCATCAACGTACTCAGTACTTTCAATCTGCCTGAAGATGGAGAAGTCTTGGAGCGTTAGTTGAACGGCAACTTCCACTGCGTTAAGCTGCAAGAAGTGAACGGTGCTCTCTCTGACCAGCTCAGACGCTAAGTCGTCACCGACTAGAGTTTCGGTTACACCATTCGTCTTCAAATAATACCTAATAAATAAATCAATAAAATTCAAATTCATCGTTAAAGAAAAAAAATACCTTAACCATAAAGCCAGATATTTGTTTCCAAAATGTTCTGAGCTTGAAATTTACTAAAATTATAAGAAGACCAATAACAATTTTTCTTTTAACACTTGTAAAATTTGAACAATTTAGTTAAGCAATGTTAGAAATTTAGGATGACAAACCAAAAGTTCCAATAAAGTTCTAGGATATTTAATATACTATATTTTTATAACATAATAAAAATTAAAACAATTTTAAATAGAATAATGACATCATTATTCTAAACTGTGACAAATAGTACATTGGTTTATTGAAATCCATATTTAATAACCTACCTTATTTTGACAAGGTTGTAATTAATATTGTTGGTTAAATAAATGAGATTATTGATGCTACCGACTCCCTTTTAAATTTAAATGTACTTTTTTATTTAAAAAATTTTAATTTTACTTACACCTTTGTCATTTCATTTTTAATTATATAACTACATTCTAAAACATTTTATTTAAAATTAGAGGTGAAGAATTTTTTCAGTAAAACGTCTTAAAAAATTAAACCAAAAAAGTGTTAGTACATCAAGTTTATAAACCCATTTTCCTAATTAATGTTAGACTATAGTTGGAAAAATTCCGACAACATAACCTTGTCTCTAAAATGTCGGCAAACAACAAAATAACCCATCAATCTTTCACCAATTCAGGCATTATCAGGACAGAAAACCAATCGCACACTGGAAGAAAGGTGAAGTAACTCAGGTGATATAGGTTATAATCAAACAGCTGATCAGTAAAATAGAAATTTTCCAGTTATAACCTAACTTTGATTTTTCTCTCTTGGTGAGTTTTATTCATTTATTTAAAATTAATGATAGATCAGTTAGAACCTTATCAAACCAAGCTAGCGAATACATTTAATAAAACAAAAAAAACCTTAAATTTATATTCATCGGCATAACATCTTTTAAAATAACTCAAACACAATGTAATTGAAAAAAAAAAAATCTTACAAAGCTTATATAGTGGGCAGTAACATAATATTTTCAATCAAAATCATTTAACTTGCTCAATTAAGAACTTACCTACTGAATACTACTGAGACCTATCCGCTCGGCAAGATTTATGTAGTGGGCAGTAACTTATACATATAACTTATATAGTGGGCAGTAAGTTATATATATATAACTTATACAGTGGGCAGTAACTTAATATTTTCAATCAAAATCTTTCAACTTCCTCAATTAAGAACTTACCTACTACTGAGACCTATCCGCTCGGCAAGATTTTGTAACTGATCTGGAAGGCGCTTCTGCTTTATAATCCCACCTTCCGAAACAGAAACTTCACAAAGCGAAAAGTGCCAACTAGGCTCAGTAATTCCAAACTCTTGGAGAGCAAGCATCACTACTTCGTGAGCGGTCGTCTCCTGCGTAACAATTTTCATAAGTAAAACTCTTTTCCATAATTATAAAAAAAAAAATTAAAAAAATGTTAACAAAATCATGGGAAGTTCTTACCTTGTGGACTAAGAGGTATTTACAGGTCTGGTCAGCTTTGTAAACTTTCAATACGTGCTCAGGGTAATCTGTCGACCGAAGATCATCATAGCACAGATTTACGAGGTCAGGTTGAGTCATCAACTGAGTCGAATCGCCAGACTGAGGTATCACTTCTTCTCCAGGACCGTCCCTGGTTAATTTTAAAATTACAATTTACCGTTTATAAACATGAAATAAGTTTATCAAACCAAGTTTAGATATTTTAAAAATGTCAGGAACAACAAACATAAGAAAACAAATAAGGTGTAAGTCGAAAATTTCATTTTCTATTACTTATTGTAATTCAGAAAATAAATCTAAGGAAGCTAAGAAAAATGGTAGTGTAAAATATGTCTGATGAGGTAATAGATAAAGAAAATTCATTTACATTGTCATAGAAACCATTAAATTGTATTATCTTTTAAGCAACACAATCAGTATAAAAATGTGTAAAAGCAACACTAGACACTAGACCAAATTTCCTTAGATTTCTCATGAAAAATCCAATAGCTGACGAAACTGCCAAAAACAAGAAATAAAAATAATAGTCTGGATAAACAACTAATTTAGACATTCTTGTTTCCTATAGTTTGTACAATGAAAAAAAAAAAATTTTTTTTAATACATTTGACTATCAGGCCAATTTTAGTTCATAGATAAGGAGAATTGTTCCTAATAAGTCGTGTTAATTTTGAATAGTGTTAATGAATAGCACATAATACTTACATAATAGTATTCTTTGGCAAGATATTCATCTTAATGAGAGCTTTTTGAAGCCTCTTCTTCGACGCTAAGGTCATAAAAGACTGCTTCGATGGCTTCGTTGGCGAAATAGGCGCAACAGGAAGAGGTGGTAAGGGCGGCGGGTGAGGGGGAGGGGGTGTCGGATCAGATCTCTTTGGTGTCCCTCGACCACTTCGGGCTCCGCTCGATGAAATAATATCTTTGAAACCTAAATTGATGAATAAATGAAAATTATTAGAAAACAAAATATTAAGTTTATGAGGCATGTTAATTTAATAAAATAGATTACGAGAAATCATACCTAAAAGATTAGACTTAACGGTGATGCTTAAGTGGGTACTAGACTTAAGGATATCTAATGCCTTGGCCTGCGCGATATGTTCAAAACTGTTTCCGTTGACTTCCAATATTTGATCTGCTCTTTTCAGACCTACTTCTTCCGCTTTGCTCCCCTTATCGACCTATAAAGAAATATTTGTTAAGAAAAAAAAAAATTAAATTAAGATATAAATGTAATCATGCCTTTTTACTTACCATTTTGATAAATATACCGAAACCCCTTTCATATCCCCCGATGATTGAAAAGGGAAGCTCGTCTTCTCTGGACGGCCTCGCGAGTGTGATGGAGCGAGGCCTCGCCTTGGCAGCGCAGGCTATGTTCAGGAGGCCCAGTTGGCCAATCATCTTCTCCCGCTCCAGCCAGCCTTCGAAGATCTCGAGGGTGTCCATGAGGCCAGGGGTCGTTTCAAAGTCAGTGAAGTGGTTGTTGACCCAAAGCAAAAGAACCCTAGTCACCCTGTCCCTACAGCACTCTTCATTAAACCTAGTAGAAGAAAAAATCATAAATTTTAATTAACACGATAATTTCACAAAATTAACATCACACCAATTAAATTAAATTAAAACACCAACATTACTTATGGTATGATCTTCATAAAACTCAAATGATGGATTCTTAATTTTTATTTATATTGTTGGTTTATAATAAAAAAGCTTTAAGTGATTTTTCATAATCTTAAATAATTAAGAACTTGGAAGAATTTTCTCATTATGAAATCAGAAAATTGTGTGCTTCTTGTAAGTATATTTGGTATATAAAAGGCATTGGGTCATTTTCTTCAACTTACAGTGTTTTAATATCGATAAATAAAATTGAAATTGAAACAAAAATATATTTGAAAGTTAATGGATACCAAAAATGCACTTAGTGACTTTTTGCAATAAACCAACGATTGTACTTTTTTAAATAATTACTTTATAAGATAATCATATATTTTTAACATAATAATTTTAAAAATTAAAGTTTACAAACCTACTATCCTTTCTAAAGTTCTTTAGAGATGTTAAACATGACCATACACATTAAGGAGGGGTGAGCACCATATTTAAATTTTTGAAAATAAACTACTGCAATGAATATTTGGCCTGAAGAGGGACGATCCAACAGAAGAATTTAGACACCAAAATGTGTGGATCTGGTAAATATAATTGAGGTGATTGAACAGCAGTGAATAAAATGGATGTATAAAATCGTTGGGTCTAGTAATGAAAGAAGAGCTAAAAGTTTGTTATAGGCTCTGCTGACTGGTAAGGGTAGACCAAAGCGAACGTGAGAAGGTTACGTTACTGTGGATTTTGTGATATTGAATTTTAAGTGTGATTAGAGGATGAAAGTATGTAAAGAGTTGTTGTTGATATTGACATTGAATCTTCAGGTTCGCTAAGCCTTTTGTTATTATTAGATAGATATTTTTATACTCTTCAACTTACTTTGAGTTTTTAATATTATTATTATTAGAAAAACAATTTAACTCACCATTTAAGAAGCTGCTTTGCGACATCGACCGAACTGCTAATGAAAGTCCTGTGAGTCAAAAGAAAATCTTCAACATACGTCGGATCGATTATTGAGTTCTCTTCGATCAGCTGCTGCATCAGCTTTTCTGGAGTTCCCTACAGGGAAGAAAATAACATTATAATTTTATGTTTAGATCGTTTTGGTGTATTATTAAATTATTTTGTACAAAGTGACTTCGCATTACATGAAGTCAGACCGTTCCGTTTCATTGTTTTGAATATCTACTATATACCTGTAATATCTACTATATACCTGTAATATCTACTATATGACTGCAATGTTAATAAACTTACCCTGATGACGACATGACCTCTGCGATCTGCTCCCCTCTGCTCGGTGACCATCATCAGTTCTCCATCGTTGTTGAGGTGCCTCTGCATTGCCTCCTGTCCCTGGTGCTGTATCCTGTAATAGTCCGTCTGTGTGATACAAACGAATTGGCAATCGTCACACTTAGTTCTCATTACTCCTCGGTGGTAAAGCTTTTCCATTGTCGGCAGGATACCAAAACTGTAATGTTATAGTTTTTTGTGTTATTCATACATCATTTTTGTTCTGCTATAGTTATTTATTAACCTAGAGATAAATTATATAAATAGCCATGAATATAAGTCACTAAGGGCTGTATATATTATGTGTGCTGACATTTTGACCCAAGCATATGGGTACTCACCAGGGCTAAAATTAAATCATAAAAAGCAAAAGAGAAATAATGAAAATAAATTAAGAAGTAAGAATTAATTATTTTTAATTTGTCTTTTGCATTTATTTAATTACTCCTGTCTTTGAATTGCATACATATTTAAATTTCTAATTTAATTTTAGTCCTGTAGATGACGCACGATCTTGGATTAAAATTATGGCACAAATAACTTAAAAATTACAGATAATTTATCATCCAAGATATTTAGTAAATTAATTAATAAATATTGAGAATTAATTACTGAAAAGGATCAGTTTAAAATAGGTATTTGAAAGTAAAAAAAACTATAGTATTATCATTATTATATTAAAATTGTCATCCAAGAAGGAAGAAAAAGAGCAAACAGTTTTCAAGAGGAATTAAAACTAGAAAAATAAAAATTTTCTATAACTTCATAATTAATTTCTTGAAATATTATGTCTTTGCTATTTTAAATATTTACATTGATTTTGAAAAATAGCAAAATATCTGAGGTTTAGATATTTATAAACAGAAATTGATAATTTTTCTATTTAACATTGTCACAAACCTGTCACCCATGTGCAACTGCTCCGTTTGGCCGTTCGAATATTCAATCTCCACATGACCGTTGATGAGAACACTCCAAGAGTCCAGTTCTTCACCGTCGTTCATCACAACCGTACCAGCCCTTTCAACGACAGCGAAAACCTAAATAAAGTAAAATTATGATAATAAACTGTTAATGTTAAATTAGGCAATTATTAAAAAGAATTAGCAATAAACGAATATAACAAACCATGACAGAGCAGAGAGCCCGGCGGACAGCTAGCGTCATGTTGGTGAATGCCTTGAGATGTTGAGTGAACTCCAGCAAGGTCTCGATGTCTTCCTCGCACCGATCCGTCGGATCCTTCTCTAGGCACTCCCTCACGGTGTCCCGAACTGTCAGGCTCTGAAATGAATGATTATAAATTATATTTATTCTTATATAATGGAAAGTAAATAATCAGGAAATTTATCAAAATTATTTTTTAACATGCTTACCAAATTAAATACTTTTAATTGGTTAAATAATGGATTTAATAAACAGCTATTATAAAACTTGAATTATGAATTTGACTTGAATTGAATGAATGATTTGAATTGACTATTATGAATTATGAAACTTCAATTTAAAAATTTTGAATTGGAAATCAAAAGAATACAAAAATATTATATATATATATATATATATATATATATATATATATATATATATTTTTTTTTTTTTTTTCCACGAACCAGCCAGCAAGGACCACGCGAATATCATTTCCATTTCCTCTTCACACCCTCAGCCTTCCTCTTACTCCAATACTCTCTCATCCTCCTGGACTGTTCCTCTCGCTCTTCCTTAGTCCATTTTCTCCCTCGTCTCTCCCTCCCACCTACAAGAACCCCAACCCCTTTCAGTTTTTCCCTAAAAAGCTCTCTATCCAAGCAATCTTTATCCGTAATTTTTAGCCTGTCTAGTTCCTCTTTTATTTGTTTTACAAATCCTCCATACCTTTATAACTACAAACTTGGTCAACAATTTTCTTGTTCAGTCTATCACTATTCATCCTGACCATGTGCTCGCAGAACCTCAGTCTTCTGGTCCTGACGACTGTTTCCAAATCTTCCAAATTTTAGTATATTTCTTTATTGGATTTTAGCCTGTATTCCTCTTGAGTTACCTTGGGTCCCTGAATCCTCCTCAGAATCTTCCTCTCAATCTTCAGGATTTTCTCTAGGCTCGGAAGGCTGACTGTTTCCATACCATATAATATTACAGGTCATGCTACTGTACAGTAATGCCTTATTTATTATATTATAAGAATATAAAATATTAAAGCTCAACTATTATTAATAAAAAAAATAGAAATAGCAAACAAATAAAATGGGATGACATAAATAAATAGGATGACACACATAAATCACAAAAAATAATTTTATAGGTCAAAAGAAATTAGGTTCACCTCCATTAACTTATTTCATTTTTTAAATTTTTTTTTATTTTTGTTGTTTTATTGAAGATAGGATGTACATATATCTCATTCATAAAAGGATAGCAATAAGAGATTTTTACTTATTAAGAGAACTCTACTGTTAATCTAAGGGGACTTCAGTCCCAGAATAAAAATTAAAAATATCAAAGGCACACATCCATCATTTTCAAACAGCTGAGAGGAAGCCAATTTTTTTTATATAGCTTGATTTAAACGAATGATGTTTTTTCATGATTAAATTTAAACTTAAAAACAATCATTAAAATTGGTTTAAATTATTACTATAAAAAAAATGTTAGCTTGTTCTTAACTTTTTTAAACCGATAAATTTCTAACTTTGATATGAAACAAGCCATATATAAATTTCAACAAAGTAAATGAGTTTAATGAAGGGTGACTTATTAGACATACTTACCTATAAAATTATTAAATGATATTTTACATTTTACATTGAAAAAAATATTTTACATTGAAAAAATAGGAGATATGATAGGATATAACAACACAGGTACGATTATAAGAAAAGAAATTAAAGAAAAGGAGAAAAAAAAAAAAAAAAAAGGCACTCACAAAGTTACTACTCACATCGCTACTCTCAGCCAGGTCCTCCTCGTCGGAATCGACGATGGATTCGACCAGGCCTGATAGGTCAACTTCGTCTGCTTCCACGGAGTGGCAGGTCATAGTGTCGCTGCCGGAATAAGCTGAAGAAGTCGAGGAGTGAGAACTTCGGTTGGACTTGTACGCTTCCCGCATACCAAACTGTAACATAAAACAAATAAAAATCAAATAATGAAGTAATTAAAAATCTATGTTACTTAATTAAGACAAATTATATTTTATAAAATATATTCATAAATATACATGCTAAAGTATGCTAAAGACTTGATTTGATTACAGTAAATAATCTAAAGTGATAATGTAATTTGGTATAAATATTACCTAATAATATTTTTTATAGTTCTCAGTTTGGGAAATGTAATTTAAGTCATACAAAAAATAAAAAATAACTAATGAAGTGGCTACTAACAAAAGGGCATAATTCATTTTCCTTAAGTTTATAATGCGGATGAAATAAATACATATTAAGAAGTTAATTTAATATGCACTACACTAAATCCAAATCTATAAAGATTGCGCTAGTCACAAGTATATTCCATTAATAGCAAACCATTTTTAGTTTTGTTTTGTATGTGTGTTTTTGTGTGTGATATTAAGAGAAATAAAATAAATAGTTTTATTTAGCAATAATGTCGCTGTTAGTTAAGTAACATAATTGTCTTTCCCATAGTTTGTGAAATGTTTAACGTGCCTTTACATTTTGGAGTTATTTAGCAGTTGACACTTCAATTGAAAGATTGTACTTTCTGCATATCAAACCACAAATAAAAATATATTTATAAATAGGATGTTTAAATCATTGGAGTTATCATTAAAAAATATTTATATATTAATGTAATGTCATGTAAGATAAATAATACAAAACGAATGCCAATTATTTTATGTTTTTTTGAGTTATTAATTTCAGACATTAAAAATCATAAAAAAATAAGGAAACAGATTGAATTATTGTATTAAAAGATAAAATATCAACTTAAAGTACTAATCCATAATATAAAAACAATTTCATTACATAATACAAATTAAAAATAACATCATAAGAAACAAACTTGATACATTATGAATAAAACATAATATTAAAGAAAGTAATACCACTGAATAATTATTTGCTATCATGAATATTAAAAAAAAAGTAGAGAAAAACAACATAACCTTACCATTTCAATTAAAAGTATAAGAACAAAAACTCGATACATATACTTTCAAATAGTTTACAATTCAAACATTGGAATCAGGAACTATTCTCAAGATTTAAGTTATATTAAGTTAAAAACAATATAAACTTAAAGAAGACTTTTCATATTGAGGTTATCAATAGTAAACTTTGACAAGTGTTATGGTCCTTCATATAAACTTTTCTTTAATTAAAATAAATATAAGTTTCATAGTTTTAAACTAATGCTAGATAATAAAAACAAAGATTGGATTAAATTAAGATAGTTTTAATCGTTGACAATATAAATTAATGATGATGATAAATTCATTGTGGTCATATAAATAATAACCATTAAAACAACTTAAGGGAAAACTTCTTTAGTGCGCCTGGAACCTTTTATCATTGAAAAATAAATCGTGACTTCAAAAATTTTTTAAATTTAGTTTTAAAAATACCAGTGTAATTATTTAGCTGAGAACCGCACGAGTTACGCGTGGCTCACAATCACTTCGATCACACTTGTTCATTAAACCTCGAAAACAATCTTTGGAATAAACACGGATGCATTTGAATCTCCATGAACAAGTGTGATCGAAGTGATTGTGAACCACGGGTAACTCGTGCGGTCCTCATCTATATAATTACCAAAAATCAGTGTTATAGAGCACCATTTCGGGTTAATACATTTGGTCCCAGGTCTTAATACGTAATTAAATACGAGTACGTACCTGAAATACTTCTTAAATTTAATACTGCTCTGAAGGTCTTTTTTGCAAGACTTGGTCATTTGAACTGGGGTGATCTTGAGACAAGCATTTCTGCTGAAAACTCGGATATGAAATTTATAACGATCGCAATACTCCCTCCTATTATATATTTTATATCAGGGTAAGTAAACGTAAAAAACCCGATTTGTCATCTGTCGTCGTTAATTAACTAACGAATTAGGATTTATTATTGAATCATTAAGTAATGAGAAAGATACTTGAGGGATTGAGTGCGGAGCCATAGATAAGAAATTATGTTGAATCTAATCAAAATTTCCAAGAAATTCGTCGACAGTTTAGACATAGAAGGGAATACGTTCTAAGATATAGAAAAGCTAAGCTATTAGGGTCAGCGATAACTAGAAAATACGAAATTGAAGCAAGATTAATTATTATTTATCGTATAATATATTAGTCTGTGAAAAAATGGCAATAAGTAAATGAAACACTACCAAGTTACCTAGAAGATGATATCTTGATAAAATTAATTACATTATCTTAAGTTGTTTTTCTCCGAACATTATAAATATTTAAGCTTAATCGCGAAAAATCATTTACATGAATAACTGATCCGGAAATGCACAATTTGAAGGATGAGTCATCGTTCAAATAATTTTAAAATAGAAATTAAAAAAAAAAAACAGTAAAATTATTATTGAATCAAAGTATATTTTTATTTTTTTGTAGTATCCCAATTTCCTACCTTTCGGCTACAAAAGTTTGTACAATAACTTATTACGCTTGTTATGTATAAGGAAAGTTCCTAAATTCAGCGCAAATTCATTGGTGGAATTCATCAGTTGATTGAATGCAGCGATTTATTTCAAGTTTAAGAACGATCTGCTTGTTTTCAGCAAAAGAGTACAAAATACATTAATAATAAAAATTAAAAAAACATAACGAAATGCCTAGTTGAACTTAAAACCATGAATAAATACTGCTGGAACATACATTTAATATACATTAAGAAATATATTGACCTCAAAGGGAGAAGTTCCTAAACTCATCGATGGAAATAAGAGTAGTTTTATTTATTCATCAATCGTTTTATTCATTGATTGAATCACCGATGGTTCAGCTGTTTTGGGGATCAATGGATCCTTACGATGTAACCTAATTATAACCTCAATGTAGTCAATTCATATTCAGTTTACTTTCTATCTATATTCTTATTTGTTTATTGAAATTTAACAATTCCGAAAGGTACATCCTTATATGTTTTTTATTTTATTTTTCCTTGGAGAGGAAGCTTAGGAGATTTAACATTCCGCCGCAATCCAACAGGTAGTTCCTAAACACAGTATAAACAGCTGTTAGAGGATTCAATAGATTAAAAGGATCCATCGACTGAAAAAGCGCTGAGTTTAGGAACTTGACCTGTCTCTCCTTTGACCAAAATAGCCGATGAAACCAATGGCTAACAATGAATTCCATCGATGAGTTTATGTCAGGTGGATTTCCGATGCCATCGATGAGATCATCACTGATTTTAAGAACTATACCACACATGCTAATAAATAAAATTTCATATTTAAGTTATTATACCTGTTACAAAATCTATATCGGTTATGAAATTACTTACGGTGTCCTCAAAGACTAGATTGACACCCCTATCCATGGTCGACGGTAATCTCGAATTGCGGACACCCAGTTCGGGGTAGTCAATCTGAAACAGAAATAATAATTATATTAGTTATAATATTATAATTATATGGCTAAAAAGGTGTATAATTTTGAAAAAAAAAAATTATTAAACAGATCATTTGGTTGGTACATCATTAAAAGCATGAGTACGCCGATTTAGAGGAGGGGACGGTCGTATATACTTAGTCCTGTCATAATTATTGTTACAAGGAAATATATACAGATTTCAACAGAAAAATTAATTTTTTCAAAAACTTTAATAGAAAATAAAATGTATATCTATTGAGAGTAAGACAAAAAAGAAATGACTAAAATTGTCCTCCTTTTTGTCTTCACACAGGCATTTAATCTCCGTGGCCAGTCATCAATAGCAGCACGCAGCACTTCTTGAGGAAAGCGCTCAACTGCTCGAACCAGAGATTGTTTGAGGTTTTCCAAGTTAGGGTGTGCTCTGTGGCATGCCATCCTCTTCAGATCGGACCCAAGCCGATAATCTAGTGAGTTGAGATCAGGGCTTCTTGAGGACCAATCCGAGGCAGAGATCAACTCTGGAATGTGCTTTTGCAGCCACTGATGTTTACGTGCTCATGTTTATGTACTATATTTTTTCTTTTCACATACTTTACTTATATTTAAAAAATACAAAATTACATCAAAAAACTGATATAGATAGTCATTTTTATGATGCAATTTTTTATTATTTTTTAACTTTAGATCTGATGATGAACCACATGATTGGACCGAAACGTCGGCAAACTAAATAAACATGATTAACTGCTTTTCATCCTTATAATTTTTTCAATGAACTGCATCTCCATCTCTAAAGTATTTTTTAACAAATTACTTTTGCTTTGATAAATTATTGAGGATATATGGCGTACAGATTATTGTTAGTAAATACAAGTTAATTTTTATTTCTTTATAAAGGTAACAATCATACTTCACAGAACTAATGTTTCTCTTCCCCTCTTCTCCTAGATGGCTGTGATGTAGACAACCTGAGCTGACAGCTCTCGATTATATTGTAAGGAAACCTTAATTGTTCTTTATTGTTGAGCCGGCGGACATTTTGGTTCTGTCTTCTTGTAGTTAATTAAGAACCGAGGAGGGAAATCGAATTTGCATTTCCAACTAATTGTATTCTGCCAAGTGTCCCGAAGGGGGGGGGGCGGCTTGTGTATATCTATTAGTATCCTCCTTTTTTAGCCCCCCTGTCACCACGGCACAAATCTAATTTCAGCCTCTTTTGTTACTCAAAGTTTATTAAAAACTTTTCCAACCCCAGTCAAACGTAATTTTTAAACGAATTGCTTCGCTTCCGCTTGAATTATTGTCAATCATCTGGAAATATCTTAGACAATCTTGCTAGAACAATTCTCGTTACAAACAATAGAAAGCATAGGCTTTCTTTTAACTTTTAAGCTTAATAGTGTCTACAAGTTGAAACATAAAATTGCTTATGCGAGTAAATCATTCATAAAATGGAAGTAACGATTTGAGTACAATCTTCCAAAAAGATAATCACTATTTCCAGAATTGAAGAGGATATAAATAACTAGTGATGAGATTTAGATTCCCCAGAGGGCGCTGATAACACGGCACTATCTAAAGGGCACTGGAGGGAGCGACGGGTTTTAGGAAATGAATGAATTATCGATCAGTAAATCATATTACAAAGCTGGAAGAGGAAATAATAAAGGATTAGGAAAACAAAGTTGGAATAAAGTAATAGTGTATTGTTTCAAAAACAACACGAAGGACGAAAAGATAATAAGAAGTAGGGGAACATCTTCAACGCTAATTAATAAAAAAAAAAGCCTTACAAAGTTAATTAAAAGAAAGGACATCCTGAAGAACGTCGTACTTCGACTGTCGTTGGCGGAATTAGTACACCAAGACACTAAGGTACTGGTCAGATAACAGATCCACATCATTTGGTAAATTAGAAACAAGAGATCAACCAAGAAATATAAGGCCGACTGTATATATATATATATATATATATATATATATATATATATATATATATATATATATATATATATATATATATACGAATTTGTGCCTCAGATAGTGGGTGCGGTACGCCCCAGGGCAAACCAAGGCAAACTCAGATCATGTATTTTTTTCATTGAACCATAATTTAATTTTTATTTAAAGTAAAAAAACATTTCTTTCATCAGATAATTTTTTTTTCCCGAGCAATTATATACATCTTGATTTCTCAATATGTTTTCGAATACCTCTTATCACAGGCGTATCTATGGGAGAGGAGAGGTCTTTCGAGCTGAAGAGCCTTCCCCTAAAATGGTAAAATATAACCATTTTTTTTTTAAATATTTAAAAAAAGTGTTATTGTTCGTTTAATTGACTAAATTAAACTTCAAGAATCAACTAAACACCATTTCAAATCAATAGTTAGTTTCCAATTTTTTTTCTTCCAAAGTAATTATAAGTAATTAATTATAATAAATATGATATATATATAAAAAAAAAAAATAGGGCTGGAGCCCCTCAAAAATTAAATCCTGAATCCGTTAATGCCTTTTATTACACTTATATTGAGTTAGGTAATCATTCGATTGAAGAGTAATAATAATAAACATGATGAAACAAGACTTCTTCAATTTGAAATTAAAGTTTTTGTTATTTATTTATAATGTTTTGTTCGGTGATAATCCGCCTCGAGCCCTATTCACTAAGGGGGCACAAAACCCAAAAAAATAAATTTTTTTCAGGAGGCTCATACAAAAAAAAAAACAATGCATCTAGAACTGACCATACTAAAACTAATTAATTCATATGTATGTGTTGCATTACTTCCTCCCCCCCCCTCATTTACACTCTCCCCCTATATTACTGACAAATCAAAGTGGTCCAATCATGCCATAATTTTAAAATTAAAAACATAAAAGGATTTCAATCATTAAGAAAAATGTAAATTATTAGGATATTACTTTGTTGATAATATAAAATATGTTCGTAAGACATCTCTAAAAAGCCAAAATTTCAAAAGAAATGACTTATGTTAATTTATAGAGGTAGGTTCATCGTGGTGAGATCTATAGCTTTTGTGCTCAATACCGATGATTTTTTATTTCTAGTCATCTTGAAACGAAATCAAATTTGAGCAAAGTAGTCAAATTTATTTTTCTTCATAATTTTCATAGTGTGCTTTAAAAAAAAAAATAGAATAAAAGGTTAGTAATTCGTAAATTTTTGACATTAAATAGTTATCTTTTAAGAAGAGAACATTCTGCTAAATTACTTGGTATAACTAAAGTTTAATTTGAATGAACTAAAGTTTGACATTGTATATTGCATTATAAAATAAAAGAGTTTAAAAAAAAAAAAAGAGAGATAAGTTTGAGGTTGATATATAGTTGGCATGTGAGACCCACCCTTTACTATACAACGAGAAGCCTGGGACAAAAAAACTCAACGTAAACGAAACCACCTCATCGTTTTTTTAAAGCTAACTCTGGACTTGTTCATGTGGCGCTGCCTGTGTTTACAGCTCTGGACTTCTCTATAATTTATCAGTCCCGTAGCAGATACAAACTTTGTACCTCTCTGGGATTATTTTCTCTCAGGCTTTTACTTTAAAAAGTATACAAAAACAAAACAAAAACATATTTTCATTAACCTGTTATGTTGATTTTTTTTTTATATCAAAATAAATCAACACTATTATACCCCGCACTGCATCCTCTTTCACTTAAGTTATACGTCTCTCTAATGCATCCATTGTATAAGCCACATCAGCTGAACGTGTTTATACGTATGTATAACGGGCGAATATACGGGGGAGGAGGAGGACTTTGGGGCTGAAGCCCCCCAAAATGGTAAAATATAACCATGTTTTATGGGAAAAAAATTAAAAAATACCTCTTAAAGTATTATTGTTCGTGTAATTACATTTAAAAGGACTTTAGGAATCACTTAAACACCATTTCATACAGGTAGTCAGTTTCTTTCTTTTTTTCCAAAGTAATTATCATTATTTTTATGAAAAAAAGCTTTCGGGATGAAGCCCCCAAAATTAAATCTTGGATCCGCTAGTGGTATATATCATATTCAATATTGTCAATTCAACACACACAATCGGTGATAAATTCCATCAAATTACCTTTAACCTTCGTCGTAAACCTATGACTTCCTGTCCTACAGTATCCTTTAGCAATACCCCACTTATCCCTATTGAACAAATCCGATAATTAGGACTCCACCTGGACAAACTTCTAACTTGGAATCCTCATACCAGACTGAAACGACAAGAAACCGCTCGACGTTTCCGATTACTTCAGCACTTACTATACAAACGCTCTAAGCTTTCTATAAATTACAAACGACTCATATACATGACTATAATAAGAACTATTTGGACTTATGGGATTGAGCTATATGGCTCCACTAAACAATCGAATTCCTCTCATATCCAATCTTTACAAATAAAAATTTGTTAGAGTAACCACGGGCAGATCTACGGGGGGAAGAAAGGGGAGGCTTTCGGGCTGAAGCCCTCCCCCAAATGGTAAAATATAACCATGTTTTATGAAAAAAAAAAATTATCTCTAAAAGTATTATTGTTGATGTAATTACATTTAAAAGGACTTTAGGAATCACTTAAACACTATTTCATACAGTTAGTTTCTTTCTTTTTTTCCAAAGTAATTATCGTTATTTTTATGAAATAAAAGCTTTCGGGCTGAAGCCCCCCTTCCCAAAAATTAAATATTGGATGCTCTAGTGGTATATATCATAATCGATATTGTAAATTCAACACACACAATCGATGATAAATTCCATCAAATTATCTTTAACCTTCATCGTAAACCTATGACTTCCTGTTCTATAGTATCCTTTAACAATACCCCATTTATCCCTGTTGAACTAATCCGATAATTAGGACTCCACCTGGACAAACTTCTAACTTAAAATCCTCATATCAGACTGAAACGACAAGAAACCGCTCGATATTTCTGACTATTTCAGTACTTACTAGACAAACGCTCTAAACTTTCAGTTAATTACGTTATGGTTTCAGCATCAATTGTTTACAAAAAGAAAGGAAATTTAGTATTTTTTTCATCAAGAATAAACTCAGCTGAATATAAAAAATTGTAAGAGGAACAAAAGTTGACTTTTAATGACATGTCTGAAGGCACACCAATTTTGCAGCAAGATAACGCCCCAATACATTCAGCAAAAAATATTAAAGACAGGTTTACTCGAAAAAAAATTGCCAATTTATACTGACCTACTGCCTCTCCAGACCTGAATATTATTGAGGATGTTTTTCAAAAAAGGTGTACTCTGAATGAAGGCAGTTCGGAACAATCGAGGATTTGAAATCTGCAATTCTGGCTTCATGGGAACAATTACCGCAAGAAACAATCAAACAATTGTACGATTTACTATCAAACAGAATTTCTGAATTAATAAATGGTGGTGGAAAGGCTACG